ATTAAATGCTTACTATTGATGTCATCAAGTAGGTCGTGAGTAGTCTTTTTCCGTCTTTTGTTTTTCAATTGAAAATAATTCATAAAAGGCGACATTTCAAAGGAAAATTTATTAAACGTTTTTCTTTTATACGCATATTATTCATCCACCAAAACTTGCAGTTCATTGTGTTTAGTTCAATGGTAGAGCAGTTCTTTTTAGCTTTTTGACGCCCAGCATTATTTTTTTTTATAAATTTCTCTCGATTTTTCTGTCTTCCTCCATTCTGCTCTATCCGCTGCACTTTCCTGCTGTCATCCTACAATATTTCCATGTGTCTCGCGTAATCTTATTTTAATTTGAATGTTTTTCTTTTATTTTTTGTCAATTTAGTAAATCCCAGCTTAGCCTTTCATACATTATTCCTCCGTTTGTTTAAATACATTAGGTACAATCGGGAGATTTAGAGATTTTTGGTTTTTTCTTATTCTAGAACACAAAGTAACTATTTTAACACTATTTTAGGGAACATTCGAGTTGCCGTTAATTCTTAATAAAAAATATAAATTCAGCATCATTTGAAACGCCTCAGGAAACCCGCCAAATATGACGTCATTCGCTACAACTGTTTTTTTGTTGTATTTTTGCATTACAGTTATAAAATTATTATAATTTTTTAATTGTTAGTACTTTCAGTTGTACAACATCAGTTTTTGTAGTGTTGAGAGAGGATCTATGCCCTGACGGGTCGAAGCCCTGGCGTCATTTTACTTTTAAGAAATCACGACAGTCAGTTTGGCAACGTCACATTGTCTAATGTTTGCTGATAAATATCATAAGATCTAATCTCACAGCTTCATCATTGTCACTCTTCAGAGCTAAGACAAGGAAATCATCAAAGATTTGCGTCAGAGCGAATGATTCTTATTGGTCGTGTGAGTATCTACGTCATACACTGACGCCATTCCAGTACGTTCAAATATATGGTGGGAAAACAGCATTTTTTAAAATTATTTATTACAAAAATAGGACATTTTAAAGCCAACTGGGAGCCAGGGAATTTTTATTTTGGTTCATAAAACTGATTAAAAATAATGAAGCAATGAAATTCAAATATAGTGAAGCTCCCCATTATTATAGGGGAGAGTGGGGCAACTTCGACATGTGAGGCAAGTTTGTCACCGCGCTTTACTTAGGAATCGGTTGGATTCGTAAATTCCAAATCTGGCTTGAGGGTGCATCGTACGTATCAGTTAGTTGCTCCTTAAGTCCTAAGGATTGGCTATTACTTTAATAATACTTTCTTTCCGTTAAAGCGTTCTATTTCGCAAGTTAATTTTTACAGAGTGACTTTTACCCATTTTTTGTAGAAATATTTGATAATAGGCGGTAAAAAATGCTCCTGTAAGATGTTTTTAAATATTTTACTAGAATCCGCTTGGGTGGGGCAACTTCGCCAATCGTTATTCCGGCACTGTCGAACTATTATTTTTGTTTCTAGGATGGTTACAGATTATAAAAAAAACGATCTGATGTATACAAAGAAGGGCAGTTAATTTTTGCTGTGATTTAGGTAGAAAATAAAATTTAGGTATTTGTATCAGAATAATGCTGTCGAATTTGCCCCCTAGAAGAGGGCAAGTTCGTCATTTGACATTGATGCAAAAAAATAATATTTTTCTCTTTGAATTTATACGATATTGGTTTTAAATGCCTATTACCTACTAAAGAAATGTTATCACTATGTTTAGATAAAGTTGTGTTTATTTCTGTAAATACAAATCGTTTTTAAAATCTTACAAACCTTAACATGTCGAAGTTGCCCCACTCTCCCCTACTAGAAAAAATTATTATTGCAGCAATTATTTTGCTTTTGAAAAAAATGCAGATTACTCGAATACGTAGAACAGGATAACAAAATAATTTTAAATGCAATTTGATTGTTTGAACACGTTAAGGTTAAATCGTTCATGGAATGAAGTAGGAGGCAGGAAGTGCCAGAGGTGGGCAGTACTTAAGCCATTAAGAAGAAGCCCTATATTTATAGGTCCTCTGGGTAGCCAACTTTACTACATACGGAAGGGATGCCTGTGAGATTCTTGTGGTTCTTACATAACTTCTCCTAGCTAGAATAAGGCTGGCCTCCCATTGTAATAGAGATAGAATAACAACAAGTCAACCACCTTGCATCTATGTTCAAGAGATTGCAAAATTTTTGAGAAGCGGTTTTCGCGATCGAAGATACATGGTCATTCCAAGACAAGTTGGTCGATGCGGTCACCCCAACGAGAGATACTGAGAGGTTGATGGAAAGGTTTTGTCCGACATCCTTAAAACTGGGTTATCATCGGCGGAAGACCTTTTATTTGAGAATACTGTTGCTTCAGTTTTGGAAGCATTGAATTTGACTAGATTATTAAGGCCCCAGTTGGTAATGGAGTGAAGAACAGTTTTGATAGAGTGAATTTGTTCTCGGGCGAGGCGTGTGGAAGTGGCTGCAGTAAGCGGTTTGTCAGAAGAGAAAGATCAAGCTACTATCGCCCGCAAAGCTGTATATGGGTTTTCTTGTCACATTTAACAAATCATTTATATTGTAACCGAATTACCGTGCGCCTCTGCCAGAAGCTATAGAATCGGTTAGCAGAAATCTAGAATTTACTGCCTTTTTCAGAAAAAGAGATTATCGCGTTTATTCTGGATTTAACAAGAATGAATTACGGATATATAAAGGCCGGTATCGGTCGGACATTTAGCTTCAGTTAGCATAACTAAACGTGGAAAGGAAGAAGATCTGAAAATTTTCCTATGTTAAACCTTGCCTATGGTCTTGGCAAAGGACCTTGATCCACTCGGGCAGTCCAAAAGTCGATTACGCACTTGTTGGTTGTGTAACTCCTCAGCCTCGTTGGTGATAAGGTTGTAATCATTTCTGGCAGCCGTAAAGGACGATCGAGTTGGTTCGCATTAGTTTCTACGCCAGGCATGATATGCGGTGTTCTTTTTTGCATTCGCCAGGGGTTTCCGTCACGAGATTTTTTATTGGAGTGTGGAATGTACAATTCCATACCTAAAGGTACGTTTTCGCTGCAGCCGTCAACGGCCACTGTTGACGGTAACCTCTTGTGCAGACTCGGGGGCCGCTATGTTCACCCATCTAGTTCCATCGTGCTTCTTCAGGTCATTCGCCAAACTCATTTGGAATTTTCTTCCACTTCTTTTATTTTCCCAAGGTCTTCAGCTTGTGAAACTTTTGTTCCATTGGTCATCCTTTTGTATGTGTTATTGTTTTGCTACCTCTGTTCTAATTTCTCTTACTTTAGTTTTATTTCTTATCCGCTCGTTTCTTTTTGTATCTATTAGTTTTACACGTAGCATTTGTATTTCCAATGATCTTAATGCTTTTGTAATTTCATCTATGTTTGACTTTGTAAGTGTCTAAGTTGGGGATCCATAGGTGAGAACAGGAAGTATACATTGTTTATATTAAACGGCTAATATCGTATGTTCCTATGTAAGATGTGTTAGAACGAATTTTTATGTTATGTTTGCGCACCTGGCCCAAAATAAGGTTAAAACTGAGAACAATAGAATCGAATTGTTCAGTAGATCAACTGGTAACTTACACTACACTGAGGTTGTTAGATCACAGCCTTTTCAATTTCCTTGTTCTTCGTTTCAACGAAAGTCTTAACGTAGGCAAAAATATATTTTTCTCATCGTGGGTATGCTATAAGCCAGATATCACCGAAATTCGCACTCCAAAGCCGACGCAAAATATTGCCTTTTTCACCCTTTTGTTCAATTCCTATAATTTAATATGTTTGTTGGCTCTCTCAAACTCATTCAAGTTTTACAAGATGCTTGGAATATATTTATAATAATATTGCTACATATTACAGCGGCATTTTTCTTAGAGGAAAATTACACTTGAGGGCAGAAAATAGCGAAAGTTGATGCCGTCCCATTTTTCATAAAATCTAAATATTATGGGAACAACATTTTGCCTCTTATCTTTTATTCAAAATTAGGATAGCAATTTTCACTTTTCAGTAATCAACATACATCTTTATTGTCTTGAATACGTCTATGAAGCAAAAGAATCCTAGCTAGAGCATTACATTTTTAGATCTGATTCAAATCAGGCGTGCGCAAATTTTTATTAGAAAATGGAGATTTTTAATTTGGAACGGTTGTTAGGCTTGTTGCTTATTTCCAGGAAAGTGAGAGCAAGTAATTAGTCAACATTAGAGTAGTGTTGAGTGTGGTACAGAAAAGTACAAAGCAGATTTTTAGAGATTGGAAAATTCACAAGTTACAGGTTTTTTAAAATTTCACAAGTCATGCACACGCTTTGCTAATTTCTTAATTTTAGCTTCTCTCAAATCCTCATCAAGTGAGGCAGGCACTACTTTCAATTTTATTCTCTGTTGAATGTTAAACCTGGGATGGAGTGTATGAATCAGAATTTCAGTGGCAAGGATTTATGACAATATTTTTCTCTTCTGTAATGGCCATACGTTCGGGTGTTGCCTTGATCTGTAAATAATTTGTAACAAATCCTATCTTAATTATTTTGATAACTCGCCCAAAGCCGAAATTGACAAGTTGACTTTTCAAAAGTAAATTCATGAATCGCCTATTTTTCCAAATCGTTGCACTTAATGTTTGGTTGTAAATATCTAGGCAGCTTAGCCATCAGTGAATACAGTTTTTTACAAGTATGTAGGTTACCTACAATAGGTACTTGCGAAAGATACAAAGAAATTGAACGTCGAAATTTAAAATACGATAATATAATAATCCAACCCGAAATTCCGCTTGAATGGCTTACTTGTTAAGATAAGTGCACTCCTTGGATAGATAATGATCACGCAGAGGCAATAACGTTCATGTCGAGCCCAACTTGGGCGTAAATAAACCCTTATGACCAGAAACGACGCCATTTGCAATTTGGAAATTAGTTTTCATTAGTATTTCACTTCCTATAGATTGTACTACGTTTGACTAAAATCCTTTTACAGGAGATCTGCAAGTAGTTTCCGACACAACGCATCTTTCGTAGGCCGTTTGTCAACTATTCGTCGTCACCGAAACCAACCCGGAACCAGCCTCCAGTCTCCGGCATTAGTCCACCAAAAAAATATGTCAAGGATCAACGCCTCACCTGTCAACTATGCAAGTAAGTTTTCCAATAAAACAAACTTTATTATTATTGAAATTTACCTAATTTCCTTAATTGATTTGAGATTTCTGAGCGAATAATCAGATTTGTCTCTATTTGACATAATTCAACCCCAAAAAACATAATATATTAAAGCGTATAGTTTCTCCGTCCACTAAAAGAACAAACAAGCTCCCAGCTAGGCCAAAGAATTTAAAAACAACTCAATTATGTATTGATGTTCTTTTGGATGCTATCTCCCAACTTTCGATAAATCTTGTCCAACAACCACTATATACTTTGTAGATAGTGTTGACTTGTTTTTTAGGAAACCTTGATTCTTTTATAGGAGTTAGTCGTTTCCTCTGAGAGTTTGGAGTTTGGTTAGTCTAAAAGAATCTATTGAATAAATATATATTTAAGAGTTTTATATGGGTTCTTTACAGGTGACGCTTCGACGTTTTTTTTTAAGATTTTACTTTGAAATTGTCTCAGCGATCAAGTCGCAAATTTATTCTCATTATGACTTGCATTTAGAAAAAAAAATATATTATTTCGCCTATAGGCGGATTATAATAATTTACACAAATGTATTACTTAGTGGTGCAAAAAAGAAAATGCTCCCTGTTTTATAACTTATCATTTCAAAATTGTAGTTTGGCCTGTTCCCGAAAATTTCAGGAATCCCAGGTGGCGCTGGTATCCTGACCGGATTTTCGAATTTATTTGAAAAGGTTCTTCACGGTTTCTGTGCTAGTTTGTTTAAAACGTACCTATATTCAGTTTTTTGGGTAGATATAGTTCTTCATATAAAACGTAGTAGAAGCCACGTGAAGTCACGTGAAGTATTCACACTTATGGATACTAGTACAAATACAAGACGCAACGAAAAACGGCAATGGTGGCACGAGAATTGAAGAGATTTAACATCGATATTGAACCTCCAAGCGAAACAAGAAGATCAGGCGAAGGTCAACTTAAGGAGCAAGGAGGAGGCTATACTTTTTGCTGGAAGAGGAAGGAAGAGAATGAACCTCGCATTCACGGAGTGGGTTTCGTCATAAAAAATGAATGTATGGACTACCTATCTTGCTCAGCTTTTATCCGGAATATGCGAAAGTCTGATGACACTGCGGCTAAACCTCAGCAACAACCAACGAGCTGCGTTAATCAATGCCTACGCTCCGACCATCACAACGGACAAAAACCATCTGTACCTAGATCTGACTAGTTGTTCATTTGGGTGATTTTAAGGCCCGGGAAAACATTGAGGACCGCAATAACATCTGCCTCTTAAGACATGGTCGGCTACATAGGTACAAAAAAAACATGAAGACTGGTTTGATGAGAACGACCCTGAAATTCAAACCAAATGCAGCGACTAGCTGAATCCAACAGCACCTCTTCTCGTTCTCGTTGAAAGCAACACTTCCAGGAACTACTTAACAGAATCACAAATTAATAATGACATCTTCAACAAAATTCCACAGAAACCAATACAACAAGAACTGAGCGAGGTTCCCAGATTAAAGTAGGTTGCAAAGACAAACAACTAAAAAACAATAAGTCATCTGGTATTGCGGCATTCCTGCTGAATTCTTTTAACAACGCTAAGTGCCTAAACCCACATCCTAATAGATAAAATATGGATTACTTAAACCATACCTGCTACCTTCATAGTTACCATTTTCAAAAAGGGAGACACGGCTCAATGTGGAAACTACAGAGGAATATCTTTACTTTCTGTCGCGGGAAAGATACTTGCCAGGATATTATCAAATCGTCTAATCCGAACTGCCGAACAGAACCTTCCAAAGACACAGTGTGGCTTTAGACCCAACCAAGGTACAGCTGACATGATTTTCAGTGCAAGAGAAATCCAGAGAACAAAATCTATACATATCCTTCATAGATTTAGTGAGAGCATTTGATTAGGTCATCAGAAAAGCTATTTGGAAGATATTGGCAAGGGTTGGGTGTCCGCAAAAGTACATCCAGACACTCCGCCTGCTGTATGATAATATGAATGCAATCGTTTTAAGCAACGATGGACAAGGAGAGTCTTTTCACATAACTTACAGGCGTTAAACAGACCGATCTGTGACAGAGCTGTGTTATTGCACCCACGTTATTTTCTCTATTTATAGGGTCCATACTTCACCTTGTCGAGGGTCACCTGTCGTCAGGAGTGAAAATCCTGTACAGACTTGATGACGGCTGATCCAACCTAAGCAGATTACGATCCAAAATATCGATGACATCGATAATTGCGGATGATAACGTCGTGATGGCCAATATAGAGGAAGATCTTCAGGCACATCAATGCATTCAACCAGGCATACGAATCGGCCTAGAGGTCAACTTTAACAAGACGCAGATTCTGCACCAACCCGCACCGGATACTTATCCCCAAGCCTCAAATATAACTATAAATGGCCATTCTTTGCAGAACGTAGAACACTACCCATATCTTTCGTGCCATCTGTCAGCGAATACACATCGCTTGAAGTGTGCTAGTGCGGCGTTCAGGCGACTTCTAGAGAGAGCCCACAATCACGATATCAGCGCTGAGACCAAACTTCGCGTCTACAATGCAGTTGTAATACCAACACTAAAATATGGCTGCGAAACATGGACCAACTACAGAAGACGCATAGGAAGCCTAGAAAAATAGCACCAGCGCTGCCTAACAAGGATCCTACAGATTCTCTACAGTCAACTTAGAGAGGGATATCGAAATCAGGGAGGTCAACAAAAAAGCTACAAGGATTTTCTTAGAAAGAATATGGTAGGGTACCACATCCATATCAGCAACTGGGAGACGACGGCAAATGATATGCCCTCATCGCGTCGAGTAGTTCACGACGCACCATAAACTTTTGAAAAAAAGCGACACAGACACGAGACCGAAAAGAGGGACCGCAGGAAGGAGCGAAAGAACAGAGGAAGAGACAATGCTGCCAGAGGCTGAGAGTGCCAAGAATGTGGAATAGTGTACGGCTCCAGGATTGGTTATATAGCCATCAGAAAACGCACAACGACGACAATAAGAATAGACTAGAAGATAATCATACTCGGTATGGAGTGATCGTCTATGATGATGATGATGATTCCCACTAAGGTGCTGAGCATTTCTGTAGATTGCGCCTCACCTACTTGGCGTGCAAGTCTATGGAATTACTTCTATGGTGATTTTTTTGAAGCTGTCACTGCTAAATTCTATCAGCTGTCAGTGTCGCTGGTATTTGAAAACATTCTGTCAATCTCTAGTTCTTTGAGGGTTGTCTTGTAAAAGAGTAAAAGCTCGGTTTTGGTCCTGTATAAGTTCTATTACTCGAAAGTCCATTACGAGGTATCCAATTGCATCCTCTAGACTATCAGTTTGTTCAGTCTTTATGACGTAGCAGGTTACCATCCTACAGGTTTTTCTAGCCGTTTGCACCAAACCACAGCAGCATAGGTATATCTTAGTAGTGATACTGAGTGGTAAATCCATCCCGCCACTCTGTGATTGAGCCTTCTGGATTTCCTATGGCTATCCTGCATGTCCAGCCGGTCACATTTTCCTCTTGCGGTTTTCATAAATAGAATTCTACTTTAAAAAGCGCAAAAGTTCCTGTAGATAGCAGGGAAAATCTATCAATCATTTTGGCGCCAACTTTTGTGCGACAAAAATTAAAAGCACCGCGACCAACAAAGGCGATGTCTCCATTTTTAGTATTAATTGAACACTGTGTGTTTTGCATAGGTACCTACGTTTGTTTTGCAATTTTTTTTCGTAACCAGATCCCAATAAGCCGCAAGTGTGAATTCTAATCTATTTCAGTAATACACAAATGCACGTTTTAAATACCTCCCAAAAAATGTATTACATCACACATAATTTAAACGGTTGCTCGAAGCCGCCGCGTTAATAAAAAAAGGCTTTATTTTGGCATTTCTCGAATATATTTTTGGGAATTTCAGTAGGTAGCGGGTTTTAAAACCTCCCGTGGCAGATAAATTATGCAGGCCAAACATGGTGTTAGGATGCCGCTAGAGAAATTAGGATGCTGCAATTGACTCAAATTTTTACAGGTAGCGCCAGCACCAGCAACGGAACAAGAAATACTTTAAACGCCAACTACGTTGAGTATTCGTCAGCCTCGCAGGAAAGTCGCATTACGGTTGATAATCCAGAGGGTAAGTTTTTCAGCTTAACATATAATTTGTTCAGTACTATACATTATTCAGTCACTTGAACTCAATTGAAGTTGCCCCATTATTTATGATGTTTAAATTAGAGATGTTCCGAATATCTTTATACTATCTAGTACTAATATTCTTTAGATTTGATCATATATATTATCAGGCAGGCTATCGAATGACGGATATTTATGTTATATCCGGGATCAGCCACCGGATAAAAGAGAAACATGGAAATAGTAAATTCGTCTTCTATACTGAATTTTCTGAATACTTATGCCACGAACACGTTACTTTTGAAAATTGGAAAATGCCCTATGAAAATTGATTCGGGAACGCTTGGATTTCGAGATATTATTAAATAAGGAAATTTAAAAAAAAAAATATATATTTTCTATTTCTTGCAATTTCTTTGTTTTTTGGAGAAATCTTCACAAAAAATTAAGGGATAATCTTTTTGAGGACTGACATCAACTTCATATTTTTACTTAGTAAACTTTTAAGAATTTTTCTCGAATCTCAAGCCCTAAAAATACATTTGGTAGGTAAAAACCTAATTCAAAACAAATGTCGCTGTAATTTTTTGATTATTCCTCCGGTATTCAGTACATATAGGTACATCAATATAAACAGCTCTAGTTTAAATTTTTTATAGAAATCCCCGATAGAAACTTTATATTTCTCCCTTTACTGAGGTAGTAAACATATATTTTACGAGTTCGCGTAAAGGCTGGTAATCGAATTAGGATGCTTCAAATGGCTCAAATTTTCCTATAGGTAACTGCAGCAACGGATAGTTTAAACATTAACTATGTTGTGGATGCGGTAGTTCTCCTAGAATATGGAATGTATTACGTTTTTCGATCGAAATGATATGGTTCAGTAAAATTATTAGGCCTTCCGGTTCATTTTTCAAATGGTCTACTACTTTATTGCTTGATGGAAATCGTGCAGTTTATTAATTATTGTCAAAAGTACTTATTCGAAATTGATTAATTTCCTTTTCAATAAACTGGATATTATGTGGTAATCTTGAAATGATGTTTAACTCGGTAGTTTTTGATAATTTTGTTTAAGTTGCATTCTCAGAATATCATTTGTTAGGACTCTCAATGTCCCACTTAGATTGGATAAGTTACCAGCTGAACATGAAGAGCAGTTGACCAGCCACAACGGAAATTGTTCAGAGGATCCAGGAGTTTCTCCAGCAGCTCACAGCATCAAGCAGCGGGTTAACTTTGGTACCATGTGATATTTCCATCATCACATGGTAAAATTCAGAGCACTTTCAAAATAGATCCGTAGGAACTTTTGAATGGGTTGGAAATAAAATAAGAAGAAAACGCTGCCATAATGAGTTCCATTGTAAACAGGGGCCCTGTAATAAATTTGATAAAGTTTAACTTGATTTTATGTGCTTTAACAAGCGATTATGTACTTCCAATCCCAGTTAAAAATAGCATTTTAATATATAAAAAATCCAGTCCGTGAACTGAAAGATCAGGATCAGCAAATGGGCTGAACATTTTCCGTTCTTCACTTTTATTAAACTAGTTTCCAAACCTTAACTTTATATGAAATTCCCTCATCCCTTATCGAAAGGTAGACAATAATCTCGTATTCGAACAACACTCTTATTTAGACCGACTGCAACAAAGATGTTATAAGATTGACTCAATACTTACTACGCGCTATTTATAGTCGAAACACTATTCCCGATTTATCTAAAAAAACGTGTTTCCAGGCGTCAACAACTTATTTCCTAGAATCCTGGTCGGGCTGCCGATGCATTTCCGTAACAATATTTAAATAGGCATAAAAAATAGAGCTAAATATTTTATTTATTGCATTTTCTATTTCAACAATGAGTACAAAAATTCCCTTAAATGAACATTTATTCATTATGAGAATCTTGGAAGAAATTTGATTTATTTTGAGGTGGAGCCTCGTTAGGTATTCTATGAAAATTGCATGACTCATATTTCATAAAAGGTTGAAGCTTTTACCAACAAATTATTCAAATCAATATTTGCCATCACAGATACCGTTGTGCTACTCAAAGTACATGACTCTAATAATTTATTAACATCTAAGCAATATCGATGTTAGTTTATATGACGCCTCTCAAGATCTATTTATGAATTTGATAGAAATATGGATATATGAAGAGACTTATTGATTTAGGTGCTTTAGAAGGCACATGCGAACATATAAAACTCAGGATCTATTTATATATGTCATAGTTTTAAATGTATTAGGTTGGTATAATATAGTTTTATAATTTTCAGATGATGATGAGGAACCGCAACTCTTGCAACTAACATCTCAACATAAGTCAGCAATCAGAGCCATTCGCAAGGTAAGCATTGGGTGAAATTACACATTCTTTGTCAAAGTATGTTAAACCTTACTCCAAAAATCTAAATACTACCTATGACTTTTTGAAAAAACTTATTTCCGGTAAAAATAACAAAACGTAATTTGCGGTCTTCAGGACGTGTTTTGGAAACTTGGCTCCTCGGTTGAAGTCCCGAGATGAGGACAATAATAATTGTGAATCCATATTATTGTGTTGAAGGGTTAAAATTATTAGCAATTACAATTAATTATTTTATTGAATACCGTATAAATCATAAGAAACTTGTGCATCAAAAAACAGTCTCCTTTTTTCGTTGTTATCTGTCAAGTGTCATGCTTCTCTTTTTGCTCTTGCGAGCGAGGCGCGAGTCGCAGAGACGGCACGAAGAGGAGCGCGCTCGAATGGGAGATGAGACGTGGTTACAAGATACTGAATAGCGCCCACTACAGAACACGGAACATACCGCCCTCCTTGAAAGCGCATAGGCTTTTAAAAGTCTTGATTGGGAATGACGGCTATTTTTGTCACAGGACACTTGTACACCTGTAGCTGTCTTGATGGATACTGGGCGGATCACACCGTCGTTTCCCGGGAAAACTTGAGTCACTCTGCGAACTCGCCATTTCAAAGGTTAAAGTCCATCTTCTTTACTGATGACAAGTATGCCTGGCTTCAACCATTGTTGATGATGCTGATTCCATTTTGTGCGAATCTGAAGCTCGGTTATGTATTCCTTGGCCCACCGGGACCAGAAATGTTGGACCATCTGCTGTCTATGCTCGTAGTTTGACAGACTATTTTCTGCCACTCCTAGCAGATTCGGTTGAGAATCTGAGGTAAGAGGCTCCCCAATAAGGAAGTGCGAAGTGGTAAGAGAATAAGTATCATTGGGGATGTCAGAGAGCGGACATAAGGGTCTGAAATTCAGAAAAGCCTCTATTTGGTTTAAAACAGTAATGAATTCTTCAAATCTTAAACATGAGTTACCAACAACACGCTTAAGATGAAACATACTTCACTGATTTCACGTTGAATTCCCAAAGTCCCCCAAAGTGAGGGGCGCGAGGCGGTAAAAAATTCCATTGTGTACCCGAATTCGCCAAACTATCCGAGATGGCAGAGGAATCATTCTCAAGAAAGCCTTTGAGTTCATTACTGGTACCTACAGAGGTTGTTCCTTGGTCCGAGTATATGTGCGCATTTACCTCTTCGTGTCATGAAGCTATACAAGGCAGCCAAAAAACTCTCGCTAGTCAAATTGCTTACAAGTTCTAAATGTAACGGCTTCGTGACAAAGCAGATGCAAGGTTGCTTGTCACCAACAAAGGTTTTTGAGAAATTTGACATGAAATTATGACGCCAAAATCAGAGGGATATTTGGCCATCAGTTTTTTTTTTTTTTTTTAATAACAAAATAACAACTCTTGCTGGCATAGTGATTGGAAACATATCTAGCGAAGTTATCAGGTAAATGCTGAAATAATTTGGTGATTTGTGTCACCACGAAAAAAAAAAAAAAAATTTAAATGGCTGTTAGAACTGTGAAAAAAATGTAAGTTCAATTTAATAGAATTTATATTAACCTGGGCAAAAAAAATATTATGAACAAAATCTAGGAAAGGGACTGAATTACGAAACCAGAGGGAATTTTTAATGAAGGACGCTATCTCTGGCTCTTCAAACGCTTCCGGTTTATACATTTGGACAATATATTATGTATGTCGGTATATTTATTTTTATTTACAATTATTTTCAGCTGAAATATTTTGTGGCCAGGAGAAAGTTTCGTGAAGCATTAAAACCGTACGATGTGAAAGACGTTATCGAGCAGTATTCATCTGGACATGCAGATTTGTTGAACCGTGTTAAGAACTTACAATACAGGTAATATTTTTGAATTTTTATTTTTTTATTGTTTTATCCAGTACCTATTTTTATTTAAGATTGGATCAGATTCTCGGAAAGCAGGGCTCCAAATCCAAAGATGTTTACGCCTCCAAGATTTGTCTAGCTTCCAGAGTAGTTAGCGTAGAACGGCAGGTAAAAATTACATAACTTTAATTAATATAATAATTGTTAAGTTTTTTGAACAGTAATTAAACTTGAAAAACATAAATAAAATAAGCATGTGTGATAGATAAAGCTTTTGAAAATATTGAACGTTGCGTAGAATAACAAATACACTTCACCTGTAATTACTATCAGGCGCTGGCAAATACTTGCAGGAAAAGTGCACCATCCACAATCACGAACCATTTAAAGCATTTGTATGCTCATGGGTATCTATCGGAGAAGAATTTCGATGTCCTAGATTGCCTAACGACGTTACCTACATAACCGTGATTTGAGATTTCATAAAAGTTTGAAAGATATATAGGAACACTAATGTGTATTTTGTTTAGTTGAAAGCCATTTTTTTTTCTAGGTTGACGACGTTTTCTCAAAAATCGATCAATTTTTTGAACTCTATATGGAAGATCGCAAGCACTTTCTCCCACCGAACGTTCAAGCTTTACCAGTAGGACAAGTTGAACTTCATAATCCGCCAAAACATTCAATTCCTACCATCGGAACACCACTAGGCAACCACTCTCCACCTGGGAAGAAACCAAAATCGATTCTCGTAGAAAAACAACGCTCGGATCCGAATTTAGCCGAAAATCGAGATTTGGGATCGGTGTCTCATATAACATCTGTATTGAGGAGGCCCGGCTTACAACGAGGGTTTTCTGAGAAAGGGAGCAGAGTAAAAAAACGTGTCACACTGAGGTAAAATAATGAAACTTTTTGTTCACCTCTCATTCTTAAAAATGTTTACCATGTTCGGCTTTTTCTCTCCTTTGTCAGATCTAGATCCCTTATTCCTAATTTCTTATAGGCAAATGGTCCATAGGAAAATAAAGTAGGTACCTATACAAAAACCAGTCACCCATTTGTAATTTAATAGATATTTTTAATGTATTGTGTTATTTCTGAAACTACTTGCACTCCGCTATCTAAAAATTGAAAAGTGACTCAGAAACATCAAGAATATTCTCTTCGAGAACTTTAAATTATCCATGAGCAATAAAAAAAACGATACTCAACTACAGATGAAACGTAATAGTTATTAGAGAATTATGGCACTTTCCAAATAGTGATCCAATTTATTACTGATCGGTCTTATTTAATTACTGACAGTCACTAATTCTTATGAATTAAAAGAATTATGGCACAACATGTTAAATCGGCACTATTTTGACCATTTTTTACGTCAGTGTCACGTTGTTTACTCAATTATAATGGAAGAAATGTTAGAAGCTGCCATTCTAGGGGGTGCAAATGACGTTTTTCGGTTTTATCCACCCACAAAACAGAAACAAAAAATATAAACAAATTATGTGAGGTTAGAATCTGAAAAATTTTTGGACAACTTACATTTTATTTAGATTTGCGCATGTCTCAAAAAATAGTGGAATAAATACTGCCTTCCACTATCCAATCACAAATAAAGATGATCCTTATTTTATTACTGACCGCCACTATTTTTAGTCACAAATACGCATGTGTAGGTGTCAATAATGTCAAAATGAGAACGTTTATATTAGTGACCGTCGCTATTTGGAGGTGTCATAATTCTCTATTTATGTCATTTTGTGCTAAGCTCGACCTTTGTAATCTACAATCTAGCGAAGCACAGAAAGACTATAATTTAGGACGTTTGTCTTATTTTAAATTGTTTATTCTACTAAATGTCCAAATGATAAAATGTCACTCCTTATGATGGGCAGCATGACGAATATAGTGTACTGCTAATAGATGTCGCTCCGGAGTGCGGAGAACTTATAGGGTTCCGGAGTCAAACAACAAATTGTTATATTAATTCATCAATTTCAGTTATCGAAGAATGGGTGAAAATATTTAGTTTATGCCAACTAAATTGGCGGAACTTGCCAATTCATCTATTGATTCGGTAATTCCGGCAAAATCTCAACAATTATATGAAGATGGTATCTAGGATTCAGAGTCCCAGGAAAAAATTGTTATCAGCTGTTCTTTGTCGCCATTATCAGTTGAGAGAGATGAATGATAAAGATGAAAAATCCGTACCAAAAATTATTTACATCAGATCCATTGAACAAATTTATAAATAATAATAACGAGAACTTGAATTCAGACACAAGCAAAATAAATATGGAAATTTGTGATTTGTGAATAATTCTTACTTCAACAAAAGAACCAGAACAAAAATTAATAGTTCAAAAATCGTCCCAAGTACTCCCGAGCACAGAGTATGAACCGATTGGATAGTTCTTGAACACTTGAACTGTCAAACATCGGCAACAGATCTAACCCGAACACCCTTTTTTAGTTCAAATAACATAGTCCTAAATTTAGTCCCACTTTTATTTTTGCAATATTTTAATTTATAATATCGAACAAAAAATTTAAAACTAACAAACTAAGTAGTGCGAATTAGGAATGAAATATGCTCTTGAGAACTTGATCGTTGACGCTGCCATCTAGCGAGAAGAATACGCAAAATTAATTACAAGAACATAATAGCGCAAATGCTGCCTCTAGCGAGAAAAAATCGAACAAATTACCACATACATAAAAATTTTCATGATCCCAGTTTTTACCGCTGAATATATCATTCAATATCAGTTTTGTACAATTTCTAATAATTTGCAGTTTTTGTCACGCAGACCGGGATGTACTTTCACTTTTTTAATTTCCTTTCCGAAAATTGTTGTGGAGGAGAGGAAAAAAAAATCCAGCAATAGGCAACCGAGTCTTGTTTGACGAAACTGCGAAACGACTTTTGATTAATTTTCTTTCCTACGGCAGTAAGAATTCGTTTTAAGTACTTTTTTTCATCAGTTTATAGAATTTCCGCGCAGTAAACATATATATATATATATATATAAGAAAAGTTTTTTGAATTGATGTTCTCCCCTTGCATCAAATTTTTTTATTGCTGATTTCGATAGTCCATGGAAAATAAGTCAACACGTGTTTTTTTCTTTTTCTTGTTAGTCAAAAATTGACGGAGATACAACGCTTTGAAATGTCCTTCCGACGTCATAACTTAGGTATAATACGTTGTGAGTTGTGACGTCGCACATGCTCAGTATATCTATATATAAAAAAACTTAATATTTGTATAACTTCCGGAATAATCATATTTGGGCGGAATAAAAAAAAAGTAACGATTTTTTTTCGATTTCCTACAGTTTGCAATAAACAATAATCAATTTAATTTTCCATGCAAGTACCCTATTTTGCTGTGCTTAGAGTGACCGTCCAAAGGCTGACCAAAACTCAGTTCGTTTGGGTTTAACCCAAAAGTACCACTGATGAGAAAAGTTTTTTGGATTGACGTCGTTACGTCGCGCGGAATTTTTCAAAAAGTCGAAAAAAATTAAAATTGTCGTACGGCGCTGAAATTTGGTACAATGGCTTTTTTATTGTTTTTATGAATATACTGAAATTTTAATTGCTTCACATGACTGCTGCAACCATTAAAATTGCAGTATATTGACGAGAACAATAAATAATGCCATCGTACCAGATTTCAGCGCTGTGCGACAATTTTAATTTTTTTCGACTTTTTGAAAAATTCCGCGCGACGTGTTCAGGCCAATAAGTCATTGAGTAATTAACGAAAAAAAAAATCCGCTGGGGCAATATGAGAGGAATAAATGGGCTGCCGATTGTCGAAAACTGTCACCAAATATTTCGCCCCGTTTAGAAATTACAGTGAATGGAAGAAAGGGGTAGTTTTCGATGCAATTTACAACTTCCTCGCACATTAGCCAAGTCCGTGCTCGCTTAATTTTCAAGCAAAAAATTCGAACAAAAAAACATTGGAGAGTACATTTCATTAGCAATAATGTGGTATTTAAAAAATTGAAATCGGATTATGCATCTAGCAGTTGCTGCATCAAACGCGCGCAAACAGGTAAAACGTTGATTCAGTGACCTTGAATAAAAACACGCTAGTATTCAAGACGCTGCAGAAAAAAAACTATAGGAGATAGAAGGGTGCTGTCGCTGAGTTTTTCATAGCAAAAAACTTCAGCTACAACATTCATTACTTTTTGCTATTGGACCATCCCTTTGTGCAGCGTTCTCCATAAACCGCAAATTCCCCCTAAAAACCACCCCTCACTAAAAACCCTATGGAAATACAAGGTCGCAAACTTAATAAGTTATTAAGCACATGAAAATTAACCGATCCCCCCCAAAAAATGTTAACTTATAATTATGTTGAGGTAAACCCTCTTTTTAGATCCCCGTTTCTTGGACTATTGGTTTTCTTTGCTTTTTCCTAGCCACACTGACGAGACTTGATAAGTCGAAACGCGTCTGTGGATGGAAGAGCGGAGAAAATCAATCCAAAAAACTTTTCTCATCAGTGGTACTTTTGGGTTAAACCCAAACGAACTGAGTTTTGGTCAGCCTTTGGACGGTCACTCTAAGCACAGCAAAATTGCGTGTTAGTTTCGATTCTCGGTCCTAGACGGCGTCAAGATCAAGATTCGCTCATCGGAGTATATATATATACTAGCTAATGACCCGCTGCGTTGCCAGCGTGAAAATACATTTTGAAATAATACACTTCTTTTCAAATTTTGTTGTTGATTTTCTATTTAAAATTTTTATTTAATCCGATATCAGAGTCGTTTGCCAGTGACGCATTTTAAGCACTCCAGAGCTGCTCTAGAGCGCCTCGGGATGTTTATAGGCGTTCGAGTGTATCAGAGTTTTGCGCAACCGAACTTTTTTTCGGGATAAAAAATAGCCTATCACTCTCCTCTATAGCCGATTCGATTGACCGGATTAGATCGATCTGGTTCAATTCAAGTGAACCACACTGTGTTCAATTGAGGCTGGATCAGTGCACCCTCATCAACAAAAAAAATGATCTAGTTCAGAAGAAGTTCACTTAAATTGAACCCAAATCGATCTAATCTGGGTCAATCGAATTCAGCTTATATAGAGATACGTGGTATTAATTCAAGCCGTTCTCGAATTCAAAAAATAATAAAGTTACGTCGGTTGAATGCAAACCTAAATAAATGAAATATGGCAACGTTGTTTCATGCTGTCAAAAAAAGTTGGGTTATGTTGTTATGTAATTTGAATGAGTTTGTTTATTAATATAATTAAATTAATAATTAATTCAAATTCAAAATTAATTTCTTTTCCCGAGATGCGTAACCTATCCACAAACCTTCCTTGGGATGGCCATAACAACCTACCAAAGTTTCATCGTAATCGGATAAGTGGTGTAGGAGCGCATATCCAGATACCCCTTGAACTTTGATTTTTATATATATAGATATATATATTTTTTTTTAAAGATATCGCTATAAAAATACCTAATGTTTTAATGACAGAAGTCGAAGGTTTATAAATTTTCGCGTCACTAAGTAGTACCTAATAGAGAGGTAGGGGACACTGGTGAAAAAATATTATTTGCAAATTGCTGTTTATTTTACATTTAAGTACTTCAACTAAGATGCATTTTTATTACACCATTGAAACAGCTAAGTCATCTTGAATCATATTATCATTTACATAAGATTACTACAAATTTTTTCCAAAGCATTAGCATAAAATAAGACCCCACAATTCCCAAGAAAACCACAAATGTAGTTCACATTAACCAGTAAGAAAAGTAAAGTAGATGAATGACAACAATAATAACTTAATAATATTAATTTTCAGCCCCACCTGTTCATACTTAGAGAAAGGTTATTCAAATCCAGCAAGTCCTGTAGACGATGCCAGTGTCGTAACATTGGTAGTGCCACAAATACCAAAGAAAAGATCTCTTCTCTCAGTACCAATGCTCGATTCAAGAAACAGCTCTCTCAGTTTGCCTATTATTATAGAACCATCTACATCTGGAATTGCAAGTGGTAGGTACAATGTGAATTAGTTTTAATTGAATGTCAAGCCCAGCGTTTCCCAAGTATCAATTAGTTTTCAACAGCTTCTAGAAGGAAAACATATAAACATGTTTTTGCACTAGAAACTACGGGAGTATCAGTATTTTTGGACATACAAATAACAGTGCAAAAAACCACAAATAAAATGGACAAAAGGACCAGTAATATGAGATTGTGGCTCCCCGTCGAATTTGCCGGTCTCATTTTTTCTTCGCTAAATTTCAACCTCTTGATAAAAAAATTTCATGAGCACAGGGACAAAAAATGCGTCTTTAAGGGGTTTAGAGGGGTGGAAAGGGTGTTGAGAACCAGGCCCGATAACTCGAAAGCTGAGGGTGATGAAGGAAGTTTCTAAATACGAAAGTTGTAGAAAATGATAAAAAAAAAACAAAATGAAAACGGGATACACTCACACACAGTAATTATTATGTTTGTTCCAACTGACTAGAAAACTGTTCGGGGATGATTATGATACTTAGACAAAATGGTTATTTATTACTAACAATGAAATATTGATAAAATGCCCATTGACTGAACAAACTTTACTAATCTTAAATTTTATTTCATAATGAGATTCTAGAGATGATTTATCCAGTTTGTTTGTTCAATTTTGGATCAATCATCGACAACAATAGAAAATCAAATTCAAATATAGCTACCCAATTACCTATATAATCTAATGTTGTTGTTTTCAAGAGAAGTATTGAGCTTTGGTCACATTCGGCGGTGTTTATTTGGCTTTAGTTAATAAATAGGGGTTTCAAAATACTATAATCTACTAATGGAGTTTGTTGTGTATTATCTACTAATGAAGTTTGTTATTGGTAACATAACTGAATGATAAAGAAAAATAAAAGAATGGAAAATTAGAGAAATGTATAACGTATGAACCTTTTAACACATTAGTTTGAAATCGAATTTCGATGAAAATTAGCTTAGATTGGAGCCCATTATTTCCAAACTTAACAAAAATAATATTTCCAAACTTAACAATGTAAACTAATCTATAATATGTTGGGATTACAACATAGTGTTTGTAGTTTGTTTACTTCGTTTTTGTTATTTTATTCTTTATTTTATTCTCTATCAATATTGTCAAGTACAACAAACAAGAGGAATTTGCATCTCTTTCTGCACTATGGCGGCTATTGAGAACAGCTGTTTGAAGTATTTGTATCATTGAGGTTAGGAAGATGAAGAAGCTCTTCTTTCTTTTACATCAACCGCAATGAGTGCGAGCGAGACAATAATCCCTCCGTATTGCTGGGTTGCATACATCAAAACTTCGCACACTAGCATAAAGCAGTGCGCCCGTTCCAGAGTGTTTGTAGTTCAATGCCCACAGCTTTCGAGTTATCGTACCTGGTTCTCAACACCCTTTCCATTCATTTAAACCCCTGAAAAACGCATTCTCTGTCCATGTACCTATGGGAATTTTTTATCAGGAGATGGTTGAAATCTAGCGAAAAAAATGATTCAGACTGGCGAATTGGACGCGGAGGCATACTTAATTACATAAGTATATTATGTGCATGGTCTTTTTAATTTATCGAATTTTTCAAATTACATAGTTGGAAGTCTTAACATTTGAAAAAAGCGTTCTGCCAGAAAAATTTATTGAAAAAAAAACACTCTAAACAAAAAAAAAATTGAATAGATAGAAATTTCCATACGGCGGAAATGATGGGCAAATTATGAAGTTAATAATAATTTCAAAATGCTCAAGCACTGCTTGCTATTGACAACCTTGTCTGTTGAGAAAAAAAAAACATTATAAAAACTACCCCACACGGGATGTAAAAGGGCTTCCAAAAATGACTGAAATTTGAAAAAAAATTACTTCACTTTATCTTCCTCCCCTAGAAGATTCTGCTTATTCTGTAAAAATATTTCATTTGATTCCTTAGCTAACAAATGTTTGCTCCTGCTTGTAACAGGTCGAAAAGGTTTTTTTTTTCTTCGGATAGTGAAAACATTGTGTGGTACCTATATTTTTGTCAGCTCGCTTGATTCATTTCTTACTTATCAAATTATTTTCAGCAATGTACAATGAATATTATTCATCGTCGTCATCACTGTAAGCTTAAACTAACAAACCACGTGAGTTTTTTTGTTCACCATTGGGGTCGAATACTATTCGTGGTCTTTTTTTACACTATCCTCCATTGAGGTTTTGAGTTATTGAATGTTCTTGTATAAAATAGACCAGAAAATTTATCAAATTTGTTTCAAATGCCAAACGGTAATATTTATGTTTTTATAAATTTTATAAATTTTCTGAGCGACAAGTTATTTTTCGTTTTTGCATGATATTTGGAAAAAAAAAACTATTTTAATTAAAATCGTACAGAACGTTGTTACGTACTCTGAGTAGGCTAAATGTTGTGTTGTGTATATACGTATACTGCCTATACCACTCGTTTTGGGCAGAACAACAAAACGCTTGGAATACAGAAACAGGCAGTCAGCTTTTGCCGCGCCGCGCTGCGCTACTCGATGCTATATGAATATCAAATCGTCTAGAACTTCTTATGGTTTAAGTATGATAGGTTTGACGTGGCATGACTGAACCACTTTCTTCCATTGTAGAATAATTATTGTGTGTTGATACAAACTATCGTAAAATTACATTTTATTGTTGGAAATATGTGCACGTTAAAAGCATACAAAAATGTCTTATTTGTGTATGAATGTAACTTTTATAATAGATGAAACCACAACAAATTCTCAATCAACAACTATGTAAAGCTGGAGGTACTTTAGGGCCAAATTAATCCACATTAGATGCAAAAGGCGTATTTAACCTGCGCAACACGTGTTAGGTTAGGTCTCTGTAACGTGAACTGTGAACTTCCTGTGATATGTATATGAACATCCATTAACATGAACGTCTGGTCCTTCATATTCCACAATGGTAATATCAAAAACGCGAACTTTTGATGGTAGAAGGGTCTGATGTGCTTGATATAACCCAGTGGCAACTTGCCTATTTACTGAAACTGGACTAACATACCGAGCTACAAACAACTGATTTTATATCGTACGTAAAAAAAAAATCCCACATTCTACAAATAAAAAGTTTCCCCATAGATAGCGGACATTAGGGTGGACACTGATGAAATACATATTAAAATATGTACAATAAATAAATAAATGATAAATACAAAACCCGACTTTACTGTGTTCTCAACTACCGGATGTGACTCTAACCCTGATTGAGACGGAACCCTGACTATTGACATACAAATTCTGATTAGACGCAAGTTCCAAAAAGGAAAAGTTTTTTTTTTTTGAAAAATAAACTCTTCTTTACTTTACTTAAACGCTTTGTCGACTGAGTGGTTTTCCAGCCGATTTTTAGTCTGGGGTTTGACTATAGAACTTGTGGCACTATTTTGTGTAAAATGAGACAAAATACTTAAATACAACGGCATTATTATCAGACTTAGTTCATGCTCTTCACAAAATATGATGACTTATCCCGCGTATATTGTAGCAAACTAACTACCTCTTATCTGTTTACTCTATCAAAAGAAATTAATTTTTTGTATTTGTTTTTTACTTGTCCTGAAAAATGTACAGAAACATTTAGTGCGGCTAGATCAATCGTTAGTCAATTCCTTGTTAGCCAACAATTACCTCAGATCGTGCCACACAAAATCAATATCATGGGAAACTATTTTCTGTATTTGTTTTATGAAAATCTGTTTTCAGCATAAGAAAAAATGCTAAGTATTGTTATTGCCTGGTGACACCTGTCAAGTATATCATTTGAAAACTTTCAAACAGGCTGGTAATCGTCCATGCGCAGTGGCGACGCGTGATTTGCAGTCTGGGGGGGGGTAATGGGAAGATGCGACCCCTCGCTAACGCGCCGCAGGCGAAATTTTTTGCAACTTCAATATTATTATGTATTTTCTTTTGGGCCTCGTGATTTTTCCCTTGATTATTGGATCCTGGGGGGGGGGGGGGGGGGTAATTACCGCCATTACCCCCCCGACGCGACGCCCCTGTCCATGCGTATGACATGTTTACCATTGTGTTTTTAGAGATTTGTTTGTTAAATTATAGTCTGCTTAGCTGTGTATTTATTTTAACAAATAAATGCAAGATACATTACTAAATTATAAGGCCTAATACCAATTATTATTATCCTGAGTCCCAATCTCGAAGAAGCAATAATTTTCATGCATGCAAAACAGATTTTTTACCAATATTTTTAAAACATTTATAGAAAACAACCGGACAATAACAAACATAAGAATATTATTCAATACTGTGTCGCAGAATCCGTTAGTTAATTTTTTATCCGCAATCGCTCCTGGTTTGGATTAATCTAGGCTGGAGTAAAGAACCGCAGCTTTATTTATCACTAATATTTGGAACATCCACTATGTACCATTGTGTTTTTTTTTGAAAAATACAAAAAACATACCTATATTTTTGTAGGTACAAGTCACAACAACGAAGACATCGAATCAGAATCGGATGATGATGAAGATATTGCCTTATCTCGAGTTAGTCAGTTAGAAGAAGATGACAACGAAGAGGAAGTAAACGAAACAACGTTACTGTGTCCTGCGTCGACGCAAAACGAAATTATTATCACCCCAAGTACTCTCAATTGTGCCTCGAAGCTAGACATAGTGACAGAGGATTTTAACATGACCAACTTTAAATCACCTCACAATAAAAAACATAGGGACTATTGAAACAGTTAAATACTTTCAAGATTGACACAAGAAAATATCATGATATTCATCTAAGTTCAATCATGGTATAGGCGAGAGTCTAATAGAGGAAATGGAAAAAGTGACAGCAGCAAGAGATAGGTAGGTAGGTACCATTCGCAGGAGAAAAATATACCAAACATCGGTCCATGAGCTGAACATTGTTAACAATAATAAATAAACAAAACACAGCTCCAACTCGGTGTAGATGCATTATTTTCATAAATAGTTAATTGGGAAGTGACTGAGAAGCTATACGGCCCTGAATAGAGTGTGGCGACGATTATAATACTCCTTTACCAATGAACTATGTTTGAAAAAAATTCATTATTCATCTACACGAAGTTAGACCTCCATTTGTTTATTTATAATAAATGAACAGTGTTCCATTTATTGGACAACATATTATCATTGGAAAAAAATGCTTGTTATATTTTTCTCTTCCGAATGGTAGCTGGATTTTGCTGCTGTACTTCCGAGATCACTCAACTCGGGAAACAAGTACAAATTAGACTCTCGCTTAAATAAGGATGATTTGTTTCATCAAAATAAGCTGTTTTGGGCGTTAATGAATTTTATGATAACAAAGCATAATCACAACTAAAAGAACCCATTAAAACCATCCTAAATTTTTATTTCATTCATAGTAATAATGCTCTTATAATAAGTGTTTCCTAAACAAAATCTAAGTGTAATGAAGAATTTGTTCTTAATGAATTATTTGTTTTTCGATTGATCTCAATGTTAAATGTAGTGTGGAAAATGTTGCATAAAGAAATAGCGAGGGATTATTTTTAACTAATAACCTTTCATATCTTTATGCAGCTAGACGTAGTGACAGAATATTTACATGGAGAAGAGAGGATAGGGGGGGAGGAGGAGGAGGTGGAGCGGAGGGAGGGGGGGAGAGGGAGGAGAGATAGGAAAGGAGGTGTGGAGGGGAGGGTAGGGGTAGGGAGCGATTAGTCTAATAGAGAAATGGAAAAAGTGACCACGGAAGCACAGCAGCAATATATAGGTAGGTACCATTGGAAAGAGAAAAATATAACTAACATTTTGACAAAACATTGTTCCATAAGCGGGCCATTGTCAACGATAGTGAATAGACAAAAAAAGCTATAGCTCAGAGTAGAAGAATATTTTCGAAAAAAGTTTATTGGAGAGTGAATAAAAGGCTACGGCCCTTGGGCCCTTGATAGAGTGTGGCGACGATTAAAATACTCCTTTGCCAATTAACTATGTTTGAAAAAATTCATCATTCATCTACACCAATTTAGAGCTCCCTTTGTTTATTTATAATTATTTAACAGTGATCCACTCGTCGAACAACATTTTATCATTGGAAGAAAATGCTTGTTATATTTTTCTCTTCCGAACGGTACCTAGATTTTGCTGCTGTACTTCCGAGTTCACTCAAGTCGGGAAATTGACAGTTCGAATCTAGCTAGTCTATGACTGTAGTGTAGCCTTATATAGGGATGATTTGTTTCATCAAAATAAACGGTCTTGGGCGTCGATGAATTGAATGATAAAAAAAATAACATTCAAAAATCATCTTAAATGTTTTTCTCCTACATGATAATAATACTCTTCTAGTAAGTGTTTCCTAAACAGAATCTAAATGTGATTAAGAACTTGTTCTTGATGAATTATTTATTTCGATCGATCTCAATGTTTAATGTAATTTAAAAAATGTCGCATAAAGAAATAGCGAGGGATAATTTTTAACGAATGTCCTTTATATATCTTTATGCACCTAGATGTAGTGACAGGGGATATTTACTTACATAACCAACTTTAAATAAACAGTTAACTAATGCCAAGATTGACGAAAAAAAATTTCATAACATTCATCTCGATTCAATCATGGTATAAGGCGGGAGTCTTATAGAGGAAATGTGAAAAGTGACCACGGAAAAACGGCGGCAAGATATACATATTATGTAGGTAGGTAGGTACGATTCGAAAGAGGAAAATACACACAACGAAAGTTATATGGAATCACCCAGTAATTTCGAGAAATAGAATTTAATTTGGAAAAAGTCATTGAGGAGTAAAAAGCAGTTTTTCCAAACCAAGTTTAAAAAGATAAATAAAAATTATTAAAATTTTCTCAATAATAGAACAAATAACAAAAATTGTAGATTTCTATAAAAATAATTTTTCTGAAAATGACAATTTAACAAGAAATAATGCTATTTAAATAATTTTATTAATCCGTATTGGCACCTCTAGCATCGACGCAAGCACGAATTCGACGAGGCATGCTATCTATCGAGTTGTTAATTTCTTCTTGGGGAACATTTGCCCATTCCTCTAAAGCCGCTTGTATAAGTTGCTCTGTGTTACCAGGGTTATTTTGACGAGCTATTTCTTTTGATGTTATCCCATAAGTGTTCTATAGGATTAAGATCCGGTGAGCCAAGAGGGCCACTCTAAAACTTCAACACCTTCCGTTTCGAAGAAAACTTTTGCAACTCTGCTGGTATGTGAAGGTGCATTATCTTGCATAAATAAAAAAAAATCGCCAAAACCACCTCGCCAGAGCCTGACTTGTAAAACTAAATCAACATACCTTTGACCTGTTAGGGTTTGTCGAATGGGAATTAAAAGAGTTCTTTCCCACATTGTAGTTTCTCCTTTGTATTTCGGGATAGGTTTGGCAGCACGGAGTCTAGCTTGTTTCCCTCTACCTCTAAAAATGCGAATTCGCCAGTCATCGGATCGTAGGCCGATTCTGGTTTCATCGAAAATAACATATTTTTCCAACTTCATTAGTCCAATTTTCATGCTCCAAACGCCAATTTAAACAGTCAGCTTCATTTTGCCTTGAAAGTTCTGGCACCCTTAACTGTCTCCTGCTAAATAGTTCCCACGAGCGCGAAGTTTTCTTCTGATAGTTTCGACAGAAACACTCACACCTGTTATGTAGCTTGCAAGAAAGAGTTGCCTCCGAAGCTCTGGATGAGATGTTATGGGATTTCTTCTTGCTATTTGAGCTACAAAGCGATCCTGCCCTTCTGTAGTTACTCTTCCACGACTTCTCCTCGGTCTATTCTTTAGCGTTCCCAATTCCAGAAGCCTTGAATAGGTTTTTGAAACAACCCCTTATGTAACCCCCACGGTTCTTGCAATCTGCCTTTGTGACATGCCTTGTTCTCCAGAGCAATATTTTTTTCCCTCTGGACTTCCGATAACCCCACGTACGGCATTTTTCTTTAAATGTGCGAAAATAAATAATTTATAAACTCAATGCGACTTGCAAGGGAACAGAAAAATCGACACTGCCAGGACAAATCTTATCAATTATTTTGTTCATCTACCTGTTCTTGTAAGTTAACACATGTACTTTTTCATTGGTTGTAGCAAAAACAAATTAAACGAATAATCCATATTAATACTGGGTGATTCCATATAAATTGTTGGTTGTGTGTATAGTATAACAAACATTTTGACGAATTTCGTCGGAAATAGTTCATTGGGGAGTGCCTGTAGGGCTCCGGCCCTAAATATAGTGTGGCGACGTTACTGCATACTAGGTATGTTTGGAGAAAATCGTCATTCATCTACACCAAGTTAGAGCTCCCTTTGTTTATTTGTAATAATTGTGTGTATTGATGCTGTACTTCAGAGTTCCCTTAACTTGGGAAATTGGCAATTAAACGGACCCTTCACGCTACGATTTTTGTGAGTTTTGAACTGTGCAGTCCATCGATTCAGTTCAAAACTCAACGTGAAGTGTCCGGCCCGATAGAGATTTGGCCTTTCCGGCAAGATCTGTCATCTTTCAGCATGTTGAATATTTTGAACTGCGCAGGCCGCAGGTCACGGCGGGGACTGCCTGTGTAGGGCGGGAATGGACTTGAGGTTAATCGAAGACAGAGATAGTATTTATTAGCAAAACCTATTGTAAAATAAAGACAACAATATTACCAGCCGATCGTGATGCAATTTCAACGTTGGCACCAGGGCTGTTCTGGAAAAAGACTGACGAAATTTTGTTGCGTAGAGGCGCTAATGTGTAGAAAACGCGGTTCCAATCCCGCCTTTAGATCGGAGCTGTGCGTCTTGGCCGGCAGGCCATACCAGAGCGTGAAGGGTATGCTTTCAGACTCTCGTCTAGTAGAAATATTTGTTTTATCAAAATAAACTGTCTTGGGCGTTGATGAATTTAATGATAAAAAGATCATAACTACAGATAAAAGTGTGCATTAAAATCATCTTAAATGTTTATCATACATATTAATAATACTCTTCTATTAAGTGTTTTCTAAACAGAATCTAAGTGTGATTAGGAATTTGTTCTTAATGAATTATCTATTCCGATTGATCTCAATGTTTAATGTAATTTAAAAAATATTGCATAAAGAAACAGCGAGGGATAATTTTTAACTAACAACCTTTATTGAATCTTTATGCAGCCCTAATATTGTATTTTTGCATAATCGCTTCCATAATTTTTGAGGTACATTGAATTATTATTGGACGTAACATAGAAACATTCATGTAAACTAATTCACTCATAATTCATTTTTTTTTTTTTCGAAGATAACGCTGCGAAATGCGAGTCCCCATAAGGTGGACCCCTGAAAATTACAGGTAGGTACATAAAACGTGATTTGTAGAAAATATATTCCTCTATTATATTTCTGAACAACCTGTCGTCATATTACTATATCGTTACGAATTTCGCGGGTCCACTAAAACTCTCTTCACTAACAATAACTTCTATTGAATCAACTGATTACCAAAGTACCAAATATACTAATCACTCATCGCTTCTACTCAACATTAAAAAACAATAATTATTTTATTTAAACTGAGTGTAACTTACAAACTAGGCGCTTTATTATACAATGGCTCATTTGCGGACATATGTTTATATAAACAAAAATGCTTGTTTTGATGTCCCCTACTACCCCTTGAAGTTTGTCGGTATCTTTTTGGGACACCCTGTATACGGAATCAGTCAATCCAGAAATCTATCAAAGCTCTCTAGTCCTAGCGGTACATGAAAAAAAACGGCAAATTGTGTTAAAAGCATGAATTTTGGTACACTTGGTCTTTGAACCATAACAATTGATTTGGCCCGTAGCACTACCCCACAACTGTCATTTGTTTATATTTGTTTAAACAATTCACTCGATCTGTTAAAAAAAATACAAAATAGGCTCACCAAATGCCAATGCCGAATAAAATTCACATTGGAAGTTGATAAAAAGGACGGAAAGTTATGCTGACCCATCCAAAGGCCCATCCTAAACCAAGCCGTCATTTTGATTTTTTGTTTATACATATTGTTTACTATTGTTTATGCAAAATAATTGATTTTTCGGATATTGCATGTGGGGAATCGATTTCGACTAATTAGGGGTCAAGAATCTCATTTATAGCATTAGAAATCGTTTGCAAGGCTTTTTCAATTGTTTTCTGTATTATAGAAGAAAATATTGAACAAAATTTGGCGCTTAAGTGACAGTGGATGATTAGAATAACTGAAGATGAATATAAATAAAATAAATATTATTTATTTTATAGAGTCATCTAATCAAAATAATAAGTGCCCTAAAACAGTTTTTTTTTTTTAAATGGACACGATGTTGATGAAGAAAGCATCATTCACCTGTCAAAAGATGAATGTGGAACCCTATCGAAAATCTTCAGAAAAAAAAACTCAATTTAAAGCAATTTTTTTCATATTTTCAACCCATAGAGGCCATAAGTGACCTAAAACCTTACCGATTTTGAAAAAAAAAATGGACACGTTGTTGATAGACAAAGTGATAATCACCTGTCCAAAGATAAATGTGGAACCCTATCGGAAAACGCTCTCGCTCTTCTTTTCTCTGGCACTAAATAAGAATGTTCACAAAATAAAAAAATCCCGTTTAACCATCATCATCAAATTATTAAGCATCGTTTTATAAGGAAATCTACAAAATTTTACGCCAATCAGAAAATTCTTCCTATGAGAAAAACGGAGACGAAATATTGATATTCGTTTAACAAGTATTTTGATAGTGCTGCTATAACCTTCGTCTTCGTGTCGATCTCTGTATATATTAGGGTTTATCGGAATTAAGGTAGAAAAGGTACTATGGCTAAAATGGAAGAAGGTTTTCAAAAGGCCGATTCACATAATCTGCCATCTGTGGACGTTACTATGGTATCAGAAGTTTTGTTCAAGTGTCAAGTCTTGAATCAGCCTCAGTCCAGTGGTGTAAAAGTAAAACAGACGTATTAGACGTAGGTATACAGGGTGAATCTGAAAGTGAGGCTTTTTTTTACCAGGATGTATATCTCGCCAAAATAAGTTGTTTGGCAAAAAATTGTTTATATAAAAAAATTTAAGCTAATGGAGGTACAGCTATTTAAGGATATTAAAATTAATAGGTTGAAAATGAAAAAAAGGAGTTTTTGATTGATTTTTCTGATGTAATAAGGCAACTGTAGATTACCTATTATGGAATAAAACTCATTATGCTGGACCAATCACGGCTTTTTTGCGTTTTTTGTTTGTTTGAGAAAATATAAACAAAATATTTTATACTTGGATGCCTATTCTTGAAACTGGGGAACAGCGTTTCCATGAGAACGATTGATCTGAGTCCCTATTCTTGAAACAGGGGAGCAGCGTTCCCAGGAGAACGAGTATTCCGTCTTCCTCAATGATATGCAAATGATAATACAGGGTGTCCTTAGATAAACTGACACATTTTGCAGGTAAATATCTCGAAAACGGGAAAAGATAACGAGATGCGGTTTGTTCTGTGAGAATAGGGATTTTTCAAAGTTTTTTTCCACATTATTGCCGAATCCTGAAATTTGCTGAAATTTGGTTAAACAGACATGCGATTTTTTGAAATAAAATAACTGCCTTATTTTTAATGAAACACCCCGTATCTTTTGTCATCGTCAGAAAGCCTGATTTTTCTACTTTACAAAAATGTATAATTTTTTTCAATTATCTTAAACTTGCATCGTGAAAATTGCACTTTGTCGAAAGGAATACCATCGACTAACCGGAAAAAAAAATTGAGAATCAATTTGTGTTTAATACTTTTAATAACTAATTAGGGCATAGTTAACTAATAATATAAGAATTAAACACAAATAAGTGCATTTAAAACACAAATTAGTTCTTATCATTTTTTTTTTGTCCAGTCGACAGTACGCCCTTCAACCAAGTGCAATTTTAACGATTTAATTTCATGATAATTGAAAAAAATTAAACATTTTTGTGAACTAAAAAAGTCACGCTTTCTGATGATGACAAAATATACTGGGTGTTTCATCAAGAATAAGGCAGTTGTTTTTATTTCAAAAAATCGAATGTCTGTAAAACCAAATTTCAGGATTCGTCAATATCATGAAAAAAAACTTTAAAAAATCCTTATTCTTCCAGAACAAACCGCATCCCGTTATCTTTTCTCGTTTTCGAGATATTCATCTCTAAAATATGTCAGTTTATCTAAGGACACCCTGTATAAGCAACAAAGACGGAACACTCGTTCTCCTGGGAAGGCTGCTCCCCTGTTTCAAGAATAAGCACCCTGGTATTTATCAATGTTATGCAAATATGAGTATGGGCGACTAGGGCGACAAAGATAGGACCTCCATTCTCATAAGAACGCTGTTCCCCTATTTCGAGAAAAAAAATACCCTGGAGTCTTCTTCAAACCTTGAAATATCTGTATTTCAGTTATCTTAAATTTTTTGTATAAACAATATTTTTCCAAACAATTACTTTTGGCGAGATATATTTCCTGTTAAAAAAAAAACCTCACTTTCAGATTTTGAATAGTGATATAGTAATTTACCTATAACAAGTGCGGAAAGTTATACTTTTCCGCACTCAACGGCATTTGCACGAACGACGCGCCAGCGGAATTTGTGCAAGCCGCAAGTGCGAAAAATATACTCTACGCTCGCATTGGGCACATTTTTCCTACGAGTGAGCGGAAAACACGTCTTCACGCACCGATTTGTGTGCGGAAAGTACCACATTTTCGCACCTTGTAGGAAAACACGTACGTATAGGTACCACTTTTTTCGACTCGGTTTAACTTTGTCTGAGTCTCCCATCATTACAAAACACAGATAATTAGAATTAGTGAATACCTAAAGCTTCTTGGGATAAAACAACAGTTAGCAACACAATCAGGTCGGTTCCAATCGACATGAGAACCGTTTTAAAACGGTGATTTCCAGTCGATCAATTCATTTGTCAATTAGGATAAACGTTCAACTTATTGAAAAATAGGTGGGCAACTGGAAATTACCACTCTAGAACGGTTCTCATGTCGGGTTGGAACAGAGCTGTAAACTTGTAAACAAATCTCGCCAACGCTCCAGCTGATTGTTCGTTCCGCACAGTGACGTCACAAGCGCTACTCTCGCTGCAGGGGGTCGTTTGCTAGCCTCGCTTATTTTGTTTTTTTCTTTTCGATTTATCAGATCAGATGTTTTAACGCTTAATACGTGTTTTGTGGACCTAGAACCACCACTTTTTAATATTAGAATTGAAAAATAGTGTCGTTACTTCACATAAGAGCGGCGCATAGCATTATAAAAAGAAATAAATAAATAATTCGTATCACGAAAGTATTAAAAAAGCGCGGAAACGAGTTCTTATGTTATTAATCGAGATTCTTGACCATTAATAAGTCGAAATCGATTCCCCACATGCAATATGTGAAAAATCAATAATTTTGCATAAACAAAAGCAAACAATATGTATAAACAAAAAATCAAAATGGCGGCTTGGTTCAGGCTGAGCCTTCGGATGAGTTAACATGACTATACGTCCTTTTCATCAACTTCCAATGTGAATTTTATCTGGCATTGGCATCTGGTGAGCATATTTTGTGCTTTTTCAACAGATTGAGTGAATTGTTTAAACAAATATAAATAAATGACAGTTGTGGGGTAGTGCTACGGGCCAAATCAATTGTTATGGTTTAAAGACCAAGTGTACCAAAATTCATGCTTTTAACACAATTTTCCGTTTTTTACTAAAAATCCATGTGTACCGCTAGCACCACTCGTGAATTCTTGTTTATCCATACGTAATGAACGAATTCCCGAATAATCCCGCAACGATTGTGCGTAGGATTTTCCGCACAATGTAATTTTATAACTGTATGGAGGGTAGAATCCGAATCTGAGGGTGTCGATCCCTACCCTGACAAAATGTTGGCTGATCTTTGGAAGTTGGAAGTAAGGATATAGAAAAAAAATACCAAAAATAAAATGTTTCAAACTCGATTCAATTGAAAATGCAAAAAAAAATCTACAAATTCCACATGACACTTAGGGTGGAATGAGGGAAATCGTGAATATCTTGCAGCAATTAATATTTTTGCCGCAATCTGGTGTTACCAACAGTAAAAAACAGTTTGAAAACGTACAATGATCCAATTCTCTCTCTCTCTCTCTCTCTTCAATAAAAAAACGTTTAACAACAACCAAGCTGCGTTTCAGCAACTTGAGAATTAGCAGCCAGCATAATTATTGATGTAGAGAAAGTTACGAGCTCACATTACTCAAATAAACTAATACCTAAATGAGGCTACATGTTTAAGTCAGGGTAGGAGTTGGCAGTTTTGGATATTCTTATTCTGCCTATACCTAATGCAGGACTATCCTCTCACATCCACAGAAACATTTTTTCAAAAATGTAATACTGTTTCAGCAGGCAGCCTGTGCTTTCTGCAGCTGCTATCTACAGCTAAATTTTATTTTGTATTAATTTGTATCTGCCAACATTATGGCGACACATTTGCCCGCTACATTTATACTAAAGTAGAGAATATTTTAATTAAATTACTTGTAAATTAAATCTTAGTCCTGTTTTTCTTTAGAGAAAATTAGATATAGGATACATCTTAGACAAATAAAGCATGTTTAACTATACACCAGAGGAAGTAATTGCAGCAATATATGAGGAATTGAGTGTAAATTTTACAATAATTTGTAAATATTTGTAAGATCTAAGGTTACATAGTGAGAGATGTAGTTTAAAGATTTTTATAGCGATAATGCTTTATTTGTCATAAAAGGGACGAAATTTGTGAGGTTTTTTTTTATTTACCACAAAGAAATACATTTTGGTTCCTAAAAACCCTGATAAAACAGATGTGCGTGGCTTGGTTTAAAACAAAACAAAATATTTTGATTGATTATGAACATCATAAGTTCCGTCTCCTTGAAAAAAAAAATAATGCGCTTAGAAAAAACTCTTTCAAAAAACAATTAAAAATTACAATAAGTAGATTTTTGAAATATGCTATAAAAAAATAGGATGTAAGAACTGAAAAATCCTAGGGCACAAAATTTATTACGCTTACAAATAGATCTACTAAAAATTAGGAACTCTATTTCAATGGTAAATGTAGTGCCTAAAGAAAATTTTTATTATATTATAACAAAAATTCAAATAATTCTGAAAAAAAATAATTTGGAGGTCAATGAAAAGTGCCATGGATTTTTGTTTCGAGTTTTATTTATCGACAAATATATAAAAATATAATTCATAACATATTTTTACAAAAAAAAAGTATAGCACAGCACTGTATCAACCAGGCCTGCCTAGTGATGACTAAATTCCTGGATAAGAATGATGTTTGGGATTTTCCCCAAGATTTTCCTTGGTCAAAAAAAGAAAGTAGCAGATCACAATGTTGTATTTGGCACTAGATTCAGGGATATTGAATTAAACAAAAGAAATGATAAATTATTGTTGCAAAACAAGAACTGTTCTTTTTTTGCTTTTTCATTGTATTATGGAAAAGCAAAAAAATTCATCACCCTCTATTCTAGTGCTCTGCAAGGTAGTCCAATTTGGACTGAAACGTTGGTGAGTACAGGGTATTTGATTATATTTGAGCCGATACCTACAGCCTTTACTATTTAAGATAGAAAAAAAATTTAAATACAAAACTTGACACTTTTTTTCTATGTTTTCTTTTTTAAACGTTATCAGAAGTAACAAAATCGCATCGGAAAATGGAAAAACATAAACAACTCCAACTTTTTTTTAAAGAAACACCCTGTATATTATGCAATAAAATGAAAGGTCTTTTCTTCCTGATTCCAAATATATATATATACATATCTAGCTTGAATTATAAATAATTTGCAAAGAAATTTCATAACGATGTCATGGGATTTGAATCTTTATAGAATTTCTTTGCATTTTATTGGTAATTTAAGCTAAGATATATCAAAAATGGCTTACGCACATGTGATCAATATATGGAATCAGGAAGAGGAGATTTTCCATTTTATCGCATAATATACAGGGCGTCCCATTAAAAAAAGTTGAAGTTGTCTACGTTTTTCCATTTTCCGATGCGATTTTGTTTCTTCTGATAATGTTTAAAGAAAATATAGAAAAAAAACTGTCAAGTTTGTAGGTATGGGCTTAAATATAATCAAATACCCTGTACAACCAGTCCCTTCACTATTTTTATTCAAAAAAGATAATGCGAAAAAAAAAACTACTTATAATCTGGCCCTCAGACACATAAAAACAATTTTTTTCTGGTTAAATAAAAAATTAGTTTCAAAGAAAACAACATAATCAAACATCAAGCTGACGAGTGATTGAAATTGTGTCAGATTTGATATTATTTTAAGATTGGAATAAACGAAAATCTGGGGACATTGTTTGCGAAAATTTGCCGGAATTTCATCTCTAGGCGTGCTTCTAGTAAAGAAAATTTTAATCAAACACAAATCAGCACAATGTGTTATAAGTAGTTTATATTAATGGCAAGTTGAAAAAATATACAGAGTGAGTAAGTGAGAGTAAACGTCTTGTCTTTTTAGGTACATGGTAGATAAATAATACTTTCATAAACACTTCTTTTTTTAGGTTTGTTAGTATATTAGGAGAGAAAAATATATGAACAAATAAAATAAAAGAAACTTACAAAATATTTTTTCTAACACAGTGCGTAGGTAATGTGACTTAACATGTGGTTGCTATTCCGTACAGTGAAAATTTCAACTGCAAGTGGTGTAACTTTACGCAAAGTATACATTTTACACACATTGACATAACAAAACATAAGTAAAGGCAAATTTTGGCAATAAGTATTATTAATGTCATGGATGATGTCCACCGTCATTTCTGTAATTTTAACTGTTAAACAATTGATATATGTAATCATTGGAATCACTCATTCAAAACAATTAGTTAACGAACTTGTATAAATGAGAGAGATTCATTTAGCCGATACTTGATGGAAATCCATTGCAAATTTTGAAAGGAAACAAAAAAAAATTATAGAAATCTAGAACCTTTTTTGTTTCCTCTCAAAATTTGTGTGAATAATGATTTGTAAAGCAACAAAAACAAGGTGGCATGAGATATTATGCATCCAGGCCAAAAATTCAATATTCAATTGACATCAATTTTTCTCCTGTATAAACAAAAATTGTTTCTCGTTTCTGATTAGGTTTAAGTTGTATTTATCATTACCAAAAATGTTATAAATATATTATATGAAAAGGTCAATTTACAAGGTGCTGTTTATAAAAGGCATTTATTTTCTTGTTATTTGAATTGCACCTAAATTGATCTTTCAAAAATACGTTGCCTGTGATGAACTATTATTATGTTTAAGATTTAGCGATTAGGTGAATTTCGTTACATATTATGTTTTTTGAATAGAAAAAGCTTTTTTAATTAAGTTAAGTAAAGGGTGCTAATGGTATTAAATTTGTTTTTAGATCACTACCTATATATTATGTAAAAATTATCAAATTTAATATACTTATATAAACCAAATAATTTTAAGATAAATCATGCGTGGAGTATGGTCTCATAAGTATGAATTAATTGTAGAACGTTTAACGATTGAATATTTCTCTGGACAATAACTAGGCTTGTATTAATCGGATCTTGGACACTAAGTATTAATCTATTAGCAGTGAAATTATCTCGATACCACATAAAATGAATTCGCTTATAACAAAAACTCTGTTTTATTGAACCATTTTCCGGGTATCTGGGAATTGACTCTGACTTAATTTAAGGTTAGGTTTTGTGTCCCAGTGACGGATATTTACAAAAACATCTACAATTAAAATTCAATATCGATTGTTTGAGTATACCAAGGTTAAGGCATGAAAAGTTAAGCTGCAGTTAGAGATATATTAGGTGTACATTAGGATTTTTATATTTTTGATCATAAGTTGCCTTCAGGCTAGTTAAAACGCTTATTATATACTTAATCTAAAGTTTAAGGAAAAATTTATTACTTTTAAGCTTGGTGGTTTGACAGGGGATCATCCATAATTCTAATCAATATAAAATCTCCAACACGGTAACATTTACAATACAAATACACAACAATATGCTTAAGACTTTACATTCTCTCACCATTTGTAAGTAGATTTAGAGCAAAAATATAGATATTCATTTTATAATATATTAACTATAAATCATAATCAACAATTGTCTTAAATAATAAATATATTCAAACTTACTTAAGTAGAACAATTTAAAGCTATGGCCAGGTACTCTTCAAATCCTATTGTGATCACCCCGGCCCTCTCCTTGTCTTTATTCCTAAATGCTTCAGTGAATCTTTGTACTTGGACGCATGTTACTATAAACTGATCTATGGACATGGTTTTGTGATTTTTCGAGTCACTTCGATGAATTAGAAACTCGATAAACTGCGGGTTGAAACGAAAGCCCATTTGCTGAAGAGCTACAAGAAAATAATCAGTCAAAACAAAGATTCATTTTTCTTGTTCTATCTACTTGATGTTTTAACAGTCAACACACATCTAAAATTTGCGGTTTCGAATGGATGTATGTTAGGCCTGGACAAATTATCAAAGGTATATGAATATTGCCATATCAGAAGAATAATTTTAAAGGGTATCCCAAGTTAGAACGCACACCTGGGGCATTTAGTCAACCATTAGGAGAGATATAAAAAAGGTTGAACTAAAAGAAGTTATGGTCAAAATATTTACCTATTACTTGACAAAAAAAAAGAATTCTTGTGATTGGGGCTCGGATTTGGGTGTTAGTTAAGTATTTCTTTTTAATTTTGTTCCTATAGAAACATCTAAAATAAACTTTACATTTTCATTGGCAATATTAAGATTTTTCAGGATAATTATCGAATAGTTGAAATGCCCTCCACTAGTTACACAAAATTTCGTTTTTATGTTATTGTCATTCAGATTCAATCAAATTTTACTTTTCGAAAAGTTTTAAAAATTCGAAATTACCAAGCGATAACTGGGGCCACCAGCAATGCCCAACTCTATTCCCGGTTGAACCTCCTAGTACTCCCAAAGGTTCACAAAAATCTCATAGGGGTGCAGTTTTTATCTAGGATGCCCAGTATTAGGCTTAAAAAGAGATTCTTTGTTTATATTTCAGGAATGTTCTTTCAAGTAGGTTGGTTGGAAATGAAGTTTCAAGTCAGGATTGAGCTCAGCTTGAGAAACTATTCTTTTTGATATACCTGAAAATGTTTGGAAATTGGCCTATTCGTACCTGTGTTAAAACGGCAAGTAACTTTGTTATTTTATGTGCACCACCCTGTGGTATATTTTTGGATTCTACAAAAAAATGTTAAAATCAGGATATATCTACCCATACCTATTTTATCTCATTTTTAAAATACAGAATCAATAATTTTTGCACATATACATTTAAGTAAATCAATCAGACATTTTCATCTAAGAGCGCACAAAGTAGCATAAAAACACAACCTGGTATGAGAAAAAGCTACAAAGTACCTCTAATTTTCTATGTATAATCTATTTTTTTTTACACTTTGTCTTACTATTTCCTTTTTTTTTTCGTATGCTAGTGCCAAACACAAGTAGTAGGTACTGTTAGAATTGCAAAAAGGTCAATTTTTTTCGAATTGCACTACATAGGGTGTTCATCTATTCTAAAATAACCAATAATGGCAAGTGAACTAAATTTCGTTACTATATATATTTACAGCTAAAACTACATTTATTGACTGAAACCCTGGCCCTTAAACAAAGCAGCTTAAGAAATAATTATATTCTTCTTTTCTCTAATTGTTCAATATTGAGGTAGAAATGCTTCATTAGAAACTGTATCTAATCTAAGTGGCTGATATTTTTGTCCAGTTCCAAATATAATTATATTATTATATATATGTACCTAGCTAATTGAAAATATAAATGTTTTTTCAAATTCAATCATATTAATTAATTAATTAATTAATACTATTATTATTATTATTATTAATATTAGTATAGTCAATCTAGGCAGGTTTATGCAGGTGAGGTAGAAAAAATTAGTAACAAAGTGATCTCTGCGAAAATGAGTAGTCGATAGGGTCCTAATTAATCCCTCAAAAATCGCACTTTGTCGCATCGGTGGAACTTGACAAAAAATGGCCGCCATCTTGATTTTTTTCGGATTTATTGAATATTTCGTGAAGTATGCATTATATCAAAAAAACTCAAGAGTGCTTTTTTGTGGAAAATAAAAAGTTACTTATAATAAAAGAAATTTCAACACTAAGCTGGAAAACAAAAAAGTTATTGGGAATTAATTTATTTAAAAATCTGGAAATTTTTGAACTTTAGGTAAAATCGCGAAATGTATGGATTTTTCTAATAAAACTTAAGAATGCCTGTTAGTAGAGGATTAAAGATACCTATATTGAGATAAAAAAAAACAACAGTAATTATCGAAAAGTTTGGTGTCAAAGATTTAAAGCATGTTCTCAAGTTTCCAGTCTTTCTCTTTCACTACTGTGAAAGTTTAGTGATTTTTTTATAAACCTTAAAGTATAGAATTTAATTTATTTGAATTACTTAGTGTCTATCCAGACAGTACACAGACATCTTAAAGAGGTCCCTAAGATGTCCACAAACGACATTCAGGACGTCTTTCAGACGTCGCTCAAGTAGCATTTTTCCGACTTACGACTAGATTTTCACTAGTTCCGACGTTGTAATTGGTAGAAATTTAGCTCACTCATTAACTTTTAAGTCGAAGTAAATACCCGACCTCCAGCCGACGTTAAATTAACCTCAGACATTTATGATAGCTGTAGGCAACGTAGTTCAGACGTTTCCGAGTGTAGGTATAGTTTTTTTATGGTAAAGCTGGCGACGTTAAGCAAACGTTAACTTTTGACGGGCGTTTTTTTAGCAATGCATTCAACCAATATCGACCACGGTTAGACGTCTTTATTCGTATACTTTAAATCTAGCTAAAAAAATATAACCAAAGTTGTTAGCTAAATTGTTGTTGGGTATAACGTTGGCATTAATGTAATTGGTAGGTATACAATTAAGGTTACGAAAAGAGTCGGAGGTTAGACAACATAATATCTCAACCTTATCGTCGTTTACAAAAGACAAAAACACAAACTCGATCAATAATTGAAGAGTATAATTTCTAAATTCGTGCCAAAATTTTGATTTGGAGAAAAACAAGAAAAATACTACAAACATGCTTACCTATATAAAGCTTTTACTTACATTCTGCACCATCTTTAAATCAATATCAGAAGTAATCAGAACCAAATACATGTATTGTTGCCACATAGACCCTTTTTGATTGTATTGGGTTGAGACTTGGAACCATTTCCAAACATTAACTCAAAGATTATGAAGATGGCACTTAGACCCTTTAGAAGTTATATTCTTCAATTATTAATCTCCAATTTTGTTGTTATAGTAATAGGTAATATATTTTTTTGTTTTGAAATGCCAGCCAAACAAGCCTATAGGCACACAGCTTATTTTTATAGGAAAAAAGCAAAACTTTTGATTGGGAAACTTGCTCACAATCAAAGATAATCCTACTCGGAGTAGGACTACCTTTGCCACAATGCATAATGATCCATCCAAAAATTAATACACACAGCACAGCACCAAAAATAAAATAGAATAAAATAATTTCATCTGTTTCCAACAGTAAATTCAAATCAAAATAAATAAACACATTAGGTTATGTTGTCGTCGTCTTTAGTAATTTTCAAGGAACCAAAACTGAGGTCGGATCCTAACGTCTCAGCATGGTCCAAATTGGTGGTATCTCCGACTTCAAGGTTGTGCTTCGTAATTTTAGGTGGTGATTTCTTTTCCTTTGGTTAAATTGAGAAAATATTAGTGCAACTACCAACTCCGCCATATTTTAAGGCTACGTCAAGAAAATATTGTTTCTCTAACGTTTTAAGTACGATTTTAAATCAAATTTCTTAGACTATATACTTTTTTCTTTTTTATTATTATTTTTTTAAAAAATTAAATTTGATAAATTTCGACGATATACGTGGGGCATGCATATTTTTCGATCTACCATGGTCATGTGTATCAGTAAAGTGTCGTTTGTTAGCAATATTTGGTCTCAACAAGGGCCCAGCAAGTTCTAATTAATTACCTTCACTACAAAAATTCGTACGCCATTATTGTTTCATACAATACTCAGTTCTCTATTGTCGTTTATCTCACATGATTCCGAAGGAAGACGCATCAGGGTTGGGAAGTAGAGAATTAGTGCTCCCGGGGTGGAAATAAAATCACTAAAATTGAACCAAAATCTCAGATTTTTTCGTTAACAAAACTAAACGTAAATTAACGTTGCATTTGGTGAATGATGCAGCACTTCGAAAGTTGGTTAGCAACGTCGATACGACTCAAATTTGAATGTTTCAAATTAGTGCAAAAAAGGGTCGGCAAATGGTTAATCCGAGGTCAATAACCAACGTCAGGTTGTGTGCGGCGACGTGGGGCCGACGTCCAAATGCTATTTGGGCGGCTTACGTCTTCAAGGCGTCTTAAAGACATCTTAAAAACGTCGTGTTACAAAACCCAACGTCTTTCAGACGTCTGCCTAAAGACGTCTTCAGAACTGATATTTGATTATTATTACTCATTTTATAACTTTCAATTTTTGTCTATTCTAAACGCTAGGGTCTTAAGTTATTGATTTCTTTAAACGGAAACGAAAAATTCATTTTGGTAGAAAACTATTTGAAGAGACAGGACTGAAAATTGAAAAACAAGTAAAGAGCCTGAAATTCTAAAATACAGGAATAATGAGAATTCAAGAACATGGAAAAAAAAATCTAAGCCAAAAGAAAATTAAGAATTTAGGATAAAGAAGTAAGGAAAAATCAAGAGCCTGGAATAGAAAAAATTATAAAAATTCAAGAATTTGAATTGAAAGAGGAACATTTTCTTGTTAATATTTCATTATTATTTATTACTCATTTTATTTTTATTATTATTATTTATTAGGCTCTCTGGCACAATTCTGAGGTTTGTCTAAAGTGTTCCAAGTTGACTGGGTTCTGGAGCATTCTAGAAGTTTTTCGGTAATTTCTAAATTGGGAAGTACGCTTCTTTGAAGGATCCATGTTAAATTTCAAAATGTTCATTTGACAGATTGACAGATTTTTAAGTATTTTAGAGCCCTATTGAAGTTCCAAAGTGAAGTTGAATTGGTTTAAAAGCATTCTAAAAGGTTTCCAGTTCTAAATTGAATCGTTATTGTTCTAAAATATCTCTGAAATTTCTAAATTGTTCCAAAATACTCCATTCTAATAATGGTTCTGAAGTTTTCAAAATGTTCTGAAGCGCTACACAATGCTGTTGGAAATTATGAGTTGAATTTTAAGTGTTTTGAACTTTCGAAAAGGCTTATTATTGAAGTTCTCTAAAGTGTTCTGTAGGATTCTAAATGGTTTCAAGTAACTTCTAAAATTAAATGAAAAACGAATTCTGTGGGAAATCTTTAAGGCGTCTTAAAGATATCTTAAAGACGACGTATGTTACAAAACCCAACGCCTTTCAGAAGTCTGCCTATAAAGACGTCTTTAGAACTAAGACATTCTTCGTCTCCAACGAAATTTTTAAAAGAAGTCTTTAAATCTCTTGTCAATACATGAACCATTATTCACTTCTAGGCCTGGCTGAACGAAATAGTGTGGCTCAGTTCAGTTATCCTTGAGATGTGAATTTAGGACATCTGATTATGGAAGTTTTTAGACGTTTTTTTTTTTTTGGTCTTCAGACGTACAGATGTAATGCAGAATGCAGACTTAAAAAAGACGTCTTTAAGACTTTGTGTGCTGCCTGTGTCTGGGTAGTTTCCTGCCCAAATGTTTTTCTGGTCATATGCGTTTCTGCTTCCTCTCAACAAAAATATTTAGATCATTAAATTTATTGATTTTTTCTTCTATTAAATGTAGTTTTTAATTCTGCACCAAAAAAAAATAATACTTATTTGAGTTTTTTTCAGATGTTTTGAAAAATTCCATGTTGCCAAATGAAATAAATGTCAATAACTTTTTCGTTTGCAGCTGATGGTCTTTAAATTTCTCCCATTATAGGTAACTTTTGATGCTCCACAAAAAAGTCCTCCTGAGTTTTTTTGATATAATGCATACTTTACGAAATATTCAATAAATTCCAAAAAAATCAAGATGGCGGCCATTTTTTTCCAAGTTCCACCAATGCGACAAAGTGCGATTTTTGAGGGATTAATAAGGACCCTATTGACTACTCATTTCCGCAGAGATCACTTTGTTACTAATTTGTTCTACCCCAACCCCCTATTTTGACTAGCCTATATTATTATTATTATTATTAATATACCAAATTTAGGAATATATTTTCTGAATACCTAGGCAACCATAGGATTATGATAAGAAACTTAAGTATTTAGGAACCTAAAGATAAGAACTGATACAAATATTAAATTGAGTACAAAGTTAACTTTACATAAGTTTAGTCTGTGGCCAATTTGAATGCCATTTCTGCCTGCCTAACATATGTCGACCATTCTAGGCTCTATTTATAAGATGTTCAGATAATATAATGTAGCTATCTTACCTTGCAAGGGACAGTAGGTACTATCTAATACTATTATTGTAGGTAAGCGGGGTTCTAAACTAGCCATAGGTATATGTATATTGTTTTGGAAACAAGTGAATGCTCTCTGTTCACACATTCCAATAAAATTTATTGATTTAACAGATTACTTAAGGTCCATTTCGTTAAAATTCTATCATATGACCAAATAAAACAAGAAACACGCATATGACGTGATAATAATAATAATAATAATAATAATAATAATAGTAATAGTAATAATAATAATAATAATAATTATAATAATAATTGGACTACTTTCATGTAATTTCAAGTTTTAACTTGTTCTCCTTTGCAAATCCACCCTTCAACCTGACATTTTTTGATGTCCTAAGTACAAAATTTACCTACTAATTAAAAATGACTGTCAACACTATACTGTGTGTTTTGACATTTTGCTGACACACTTTGGGAGGAGATATTTTTCCTTAAGTTAATCAATATACCAATATTTCGAATTGGATGTGCACTGAATTTGAGGAATTTCTTTGAAAATGTATAAAAAACTACACCCCCAAAATGAGACACTTTACTTTTGAAAAAAGCCAGAGTTTTTCAGTGAAATATTGAAGCACTCTATTTTGTTATAAATTTGAACAGCTTATAATCAAATATTAGAGCTACATAATACCTACTCTCAGATATATTTTGTCAACATCTGTCTACATTATAACGTATTATGTAAAAATTTATTGTTGTTATTCAAAATAAACTTCAGTGGAATTCTAAATGGATTTTATTTAAGCCCAAATTTGTTTAATTGTTGTCAAGACGCGTTCTCATTAGTGAACTTTATTGATCAATATCATTAAATTCGAGGTTAAATCTATGCCACTGCATATAGAATTTAAATTTGTTCAAAAGATTCAAGGATTTTATTATGGATATTCAGCTAAAGAGTATCACATGAAAATTGGACATTTCCACATCAAATAAAACATGAATAGGTAACTAGGCTTTTTAGATTTGTACTAGAATACCTATAAAAAAGTCACAAGTTTCTGAATTCATTGTTAATAATTGATATGCAATATTATTGGGCAATATTGTTGAACCTATATTAACATTCATCTATTTTCGTTGAATGACATAGATTCATCAGTATTGATCAATGAAGTTGCCTAATAAGAACGCGCCTCAAGGCAAAGTTGTAGGTAGATGAACAAAACATATTTACCTTGACCTAGTTCTCCTTCCTCAATACTACCAGATTGATCCTTATCGTACATTCTAAATGTTCCAAGCCAGCTATTGATGTAATTATATAATTCTTGAAATTCAAGGGCATTTATTGTGCCAGTCTTATCCTTGTCGAACATGCCTATCATTAGTCTACAAGCAGATTCAGAGAAATTTCTTCCTTCTGCGTTTACCAATGCGGATTGAAGTTCTAAAATAATAATAAAATAGGATAAAGCTCAATTTATAAACTCGCCGTCGGGATTCCGTTTGCGTCGGCCTCGCTGGTTACCGTAGTCTCTATGCTGACAGCGAACTGTGAGGCCGACGGCGAGTATAAACAATCTTATGGGAAAAATGCAAACAATACATATAAAAACTTTATTTAGTATTCAACAAAAATGAAATGAAAGAATTATTTGCTAAAAGTAACATAGGTATACTATTTTGCATTTAGGAACTAAAAAAATACAGCCTTGATTTCCTGATATTACATTACACTTTTGTGTTTTTGGTTATCCGGTTGACCGGTTATAAAAACTGTGTTCCGTTTGTGTTTTTGGTTAAACCTGTCGGTAAGATAGGTTTCTTCACATTCCGTGCTCATAGATTTTTGTTTTACATCTGTTTTAAACTTGTTTATTATAATTTTTTCTATAATATTATGGGACTCTATAATGTTATGGTACTAGTACGTATAGTACATTTAAAGGATCAGTACAATTGTACTAGTTCATGTACTACATATTCCTAGTTTTCCTCATATTTAAATGCAGAAATGTTTCATTTATTCTAACTGGAAATATTGACTACCTACACAGATTACCTGCAAAGGTAGGTAGGTAGATAGAATTTTCTATTAGAATACATAAAACATTTCTGCATGTAAATATAGAGTAAATTGTATTCAAGTGTATTGTATTGTATATATTGCAATCAGAATGAAACATATTATCAAACCATTTGAAAATTTACTGGGTGTTCCATTCAAAAAAATACTATTTGTGTGCATAACTGTCAAAATATATTAGTCTTTTGTTTTTTGTTCAACCTATCTAAAACTTGGAAACCAACCCTACAGTATGTTTTTTTATTTATTCAAATAACTTTAAAAATAAAGAAATTATGACAGTTTGAAATGTTATCAAGATAAAATGACCACCCTGTACTTATAAGAAATAGTCAAAATATAAGAATCAGTTTCCTAGGTCTGTGAAGTAAACCTAAATGGTTACTATATGTTTACACTCTACCGGAACATGTTAGTGTTTTAATAAAAGTTATTAAAAATATATATGAAATTAGTTTCACTTCTTCCCAACCATGAATTATTATTGAGCTGCCGAGGGTAACTATGTTACTCAATCAAGTTAAAGTGTGATCCATATCCAGACTTACCTTCCCAACTTATTTCTCCTGATCTATCTCTATCTACGGATTCAAACCACTGCTTGACTTGGGGAGTTACAAATGCAGCTTCTGTGGCATATTTGAATTCAGCATTCTAGAAGATGAGTACATGATAAATGTAGGAATTGAAGATTTGAGAAATAAATAGAAATAATACATAATATAAACTTACCTCATACATAGTGAATCACTTTTAATGATAATTAGCTGTCTCTAATCAAAGAGTGTTATAATAAATTTACTAGTAAAGCTAGGTTAGGTTAGACTCGAAAGTATTACCCAAATACAATAAAAATAGCACTTATTTATAATAATAATTTGATGCGAAATTTCGTTTATTATTTATTATTTATTATTTGAAAATATTTAAAATTGTTTTAGTTTTAAAACTTTTTTAAGTGGTAAATATGGGCAAACCTACTGACACTAATGACAAATGACAGTGAGGTGATGTGATAATTTTTGAAAACGAACTAATCCGTCAACGGTCGGATCCATTTCGGTAACGTCACATGTAGTCACAGAATCAGAATAAATGGGTACCCAATGGACCAGGATAGGATAATACACACTACTACACAGGATTTCTTATTGGCCTCGTTTTTGGGAATCGCGGCCATAGTGTGTAGCACCATTGACGACGTCATCAGCTACGTCGTCAGCTGTTTGCGCCAGCGATCCTTTCGAAAAGGATTTGTTGCACCCGAGTGCTCAAACCCGAACCATTATGCACGAAAGCTAGCGCATCTGTTCCTTTCAAATCGGAGTCGACTAACACCTGTGGTGCAAACACCCTACGTCAATGCGAGAAACGACATGCTGGCTACGTCATCACTGGTTCTTTGGCGTGGTAGGGGGCTTGAGATTTGATCTACACAGGCGTTATGAGGTAAGCTATCCTGTAGTAGTAGCAAAGTTTCAGCATATGTTCCTTCCAAATCGGAGTCGACTAACACCTGTGGTGCAAACACCCTACGTCAATGCGAGAAACGACACGCTAGCGACGTCATCACTGGTTCCTTGGCATGGTAGGGAGCTTGAGATTGGAACTACACTGGCCTTATGAGGTTAGCTATCCTGTAGTAGTAGCAAAGTTTAAGTGTGTATTATCCTTGCCCAATGGGTACCTATACCTCAAGGAGAATACACACTCTAAGGAGTGCCTTATCGGCCTCGTTTTTGGTAATCGCCGCCATATTGGTATGATATCATTTCCGACGTCATAACTAAGTCGTCAGCTACTTAAACAGCTTACGTCAAGGCGAGAAATAACATGCTGCCTACGTCACAACTGGTATTTCGGCTTTGAGTGAGAAGGGAGGGATTTGTTACACACAGGCCTATGAGGATAGGCCATCCTCGTCCTTCCAAAACTAGCTAATAAAATTTAACTTAACTAGGGATCTAGAGGTTCTACAAATTGTGGTTCTACTCTACATCTTTTCCAACTGTAATTCAGAAAAACACAAATCCAAAGTAATAGGTAGGTAATCCTAGTCCTACCGAGTCTGAAAGCTGTAAACCTTGTAAAAGGCACTTCTCACACTTAAATCACCCAAAGCGCAACTTCCAGAGCCAAAGCAATATAGATCAAGTCTTGAAAGCTCTCTAAAATAATGAAGACACTTTTCCTGACTTGCCTGAAATAATAGGTCTGTTTCTGCAGAAATCACAAACCATTCAGAGCGAATTTCATTGGTTGAAAACAGTCAGAAAACTAAACTACACGTCAATTGAACTCGAACACCCCAATTTTAAGTCACTTTTTTAAAGGCTATAACTCAAAAACTAGCAGGCCGATTTTGTTCAAATTTGTGAAAGGATGCTCTAATTACTATTTAATTTCCAGTTCTTAACAAATTTCCGGCCACCTGCTAAAAGATACAGGGTGAAACATAAGTAGGTGATTTTTTTGCGAAAGTTTGGGTTCACCCCATTCTGCTGGAGGGAGGGTTAAGTAGATTTTTGGTATGCAGTTTAGAAGACTACCTTGGTACCTCGGGACGTTTTTGAGATTTTTTGAATATCGCAGCCCACTACGATTTTATCTTGAATTATGCGATTTTATGTAAAATATAGCTATTGACGTCATTATTTCTTTGGAAACAGACACTGCAATTATGGCGCATGTGGAAACACACTTTAAAACATATTATACAGGGTCATACACAAATATACAGTGTGTCTATTTTTCTAACCAGAGGTATCTTGGTTATTATTAAAGATATGAGGTCGGTTAAATTAGGGCAAAGTCGCGCAATTTTATGGACAATAAAACGAGGTTTAACACTGGCACCGCTGCTTATAGACATTGCAGGTGGTAAACCAAGAATTACTTCGGTCCGGGTCCGGGATGACAACAGAATTAGGCATTCCAGGTCACATGACTTTTGACAGGTCCGCCATATTAGCTGAGGTGCCAACAAAGTAGATGTCGAGAACTATCGATAGTAGGCGCCATCGATATTTATCGATAGTCGGCAAGAAACCATCGATAATTATCGATAGTTTTCGATAGTTTCAAAATGCTGAAATAGACATGAAGATAAATTCTTTCACTGTAAAAAACTTTATTTTTAAATTTTAAACTTATTTGATTATACCTAATTGTATTAAAAATTCACATTTTTATGTAAAAATGTTAGCATATTAATATTGGCCGCCTTTATTTTGGATCGATGATCGATGGATTCCACTTCCAATTTACACTGGACATCTGACCGTATGGTGATTTCGATTGGTGGAACCGGAGCAACAAAAATTTCGTCTCTTTCTTTATGTTTTGTTCCTTTTAGTTCCAAAAAACATTTTTTATTTTGTTCTTGTTCCTTGTTTAATTATTATATTTGTTGTAACCAGAGCTGAGGTACTGATTAGAAAAATATACTTGAAGTAAAATATTCAGTACATTTAATACTTTAAGAATTTTACTTAAGTACTTTTTCAAGGAGAGTACTTGAGTAAACCCTAATAACACCGATCTCCCAGAAACATCCTATTTATGTACCATTAAGGTCCTTATGTTTCCGACATAAATGGTACATCGCTGCGATGTTTGTAATGTAACATCTCTAGGATGATTGTCCTGAAATGTTTTAGAAACATCCTTTCGTAAATATCTATCGACAAAAAGATTTTTTGTTCTCAAAATTAGATACTTATTACAGCTAAAAAATGGCTAACATTATTTTACAAAACTAGGTAGGACCTCAGACCGGTAGGACCCAGTATTAAATTTGCCAATTTTGTGTGATTTCTGAAAATGTCTCTATCACACACACAAACTAATTTCAAATTCCATAATATACCTGTAATGTATATAGATAATAAGGAACTTAATATTAATTTTGTATTGTAACAACAGCAATATTTAATTTTTCATTCGACTTACAACTTGGAATAAAATAAAATATGTATTGATAAAAGTCTTCTCTCTTTTCAACTTTCAAACATCGTGAATATTCGTGAAGCCGAAGTGTATGGCGCAGGCGCGTGCTCAGGCATTTGTACTTGTACCGGTCAGGACAGGAGGGCACGCCACCACGTCGGGTCGGCGCCGCAGCCAGCGCAGACGGGCAGAATCAGTCGAACGGGTCGTCCTGTGCGCTACGCTTGTGTTGTTGGGCGGAATTTTATTTCGTAATGGCGTCGTGCTGTGTGGAGGATTTGTCAATTTGTGGTTTTTCGCTACACCTAGTTGTGCCATTTTGTGTTCGAAAGGATCTCTGCGACCTACCAGTGCTTATTAGTTGGTGAGAAAGATTATTTGTTGAAAGATAACGTCGCATAACTATCAATTGTTTAGTTTATTTAATTTCAATATGGCGTCGGTTAGGAAATTTCTAACTTTTCTGATAAATAGCCCCTAGAAACCCGAACTTCATTCTTCATTAGGTAAGAGAAAATAACCAATAATTATTTTTTGTTTTCATAGTTGATTACATTCTAGGTGTGCAAGTTGAATTGTACTTCAAGAACTTTGGATTTTGGTTCTGTGGTTGTTTTGGTTAGATAATGGTACCTTTATGAAATTGGAGCACCAACAAAAAAAGAAAACGCCGAACTCCCCTACTACAACATGCTGCCACTGCCAAACTATGGTTTTCGATGACATGACGGGGCATAAATACTACATTATTTAGGCAAAATTGTCCGTCGATTATTATTAGTTGATAGATAATCAATATAAGTATACATGTACCTTATTTTTTCAATAAAAAATGTTATTGGAAACTGATGTGCCTACTTAATTTTATAATTTTCAATTTTTGTTTTTTTTTTGGAAAAAGTTCTGACTTCCAGAAAATAGAACGAAAATTGAAAATTATTGAATTAGGTAATTTTTAATCCATAATCCTAAAATTCATTCACCTATTAAAGTCATACTAGAAACATATAGAGGATGTTTCTTACACCTGCCCCGGATGTATTAGGTACATCCCGCGTCATCTTAGAAACATCCCTGAGAGATGTTTATAGGACATCGCAAATGATGACACGGCTGTTGCCTGCAACATCCCAGGGATGTCCCCAGGAAAATAGGGACCTCCCAGGGACGTCTTCATTATCCCTGATGGATGTTTCTGGAATGTTTCTGCGATGTTACTGTGTTATTAGGGAATATAATCAATACAATTTGAAAAAAGTACTTGTACTGGTACTTAAATTTGGCAATTTATTTTAAGTAATACTTACTACTTACTTAAAAATGTAAACTTTGTTTCACCAGGGTTCATACTTTTGACATAATTTGCCTTCATTTTTTAATAAATAGAAATTGACTGAAACAAATCAATGACGTCAAAAACGTTCGTCAAGTATGAACCGGTGAAACGATCTATTGTCTGGCTAGCGAAACGGCGAACTGCAAAAGAATTTGCTGCTTTGCCAAACTTGACGGAAATTAATTTCTTTATGTTTTCATTCCGATATCGTGTTATTCGTCTTTTCTCTTTCCTTGTCTAAGTTTCATAACATGCAACTATCGATATTACAAGAAATACCATCGATAATTTTCGATAGTCCAAACTATCGATAACTATCGATAGACTATCGATAGTTCTCGACCTCTACAACAAAGCCTATAGATCATTGTTTACAATGTTTTTTGAGTTTGTGCTTTGGAATTTTTGCGTTTTTTGATTTATTCAATAAATTTTAAGTTGTTTTTAGTTTTTGTGAATGAATGGAATGAATGAATGAATCTTTATTTACAGACATGTCACTTTACATTTCAATTCAACAATATAGTAATAATAATAATAATAATAGTAAACGTAAACAAACAATTTATTAACAAAAATAATGCTTAAGAATCTAAATTGTTTAAAAAATAAAAAAGTTTGATACTAACAACCTTACAAATAAACTTTAGCAAAATAGATTTGTGGTAGAATGACTCCTCAAACGTTTTGACTGTTCTGATCGGTGCA